GATATCTGAAAAACAGAGGGCGGACCTTTTATTATACTGCGTTTTAAGGTCCGCCCTGTCATTTTGACTAGTTTTTATGTTACGGAAATATACCCTGTCCAAAATGTTTGCTTTCTAATGGTAAAATATCTGAAAAACAGAGGGCGGACCTTTTATTTTACTGCGTTTTAAGGTCCGCCCTGCCTCTTTCTCTAGTTTTTATGCTATGAAAATAAACCTGTTCAAAGTTATCGCCTAGTAATAGTACGATATCTGAAATACAGAAGGCGGGGCTTTTATTATACTGCGTTTTAAGGTCCGCCCTGCCCCTTTCTCTATTTTTCATGCTACAGAAAAAAAACCTGTCTATAATTTTCTCTTTGTAATAGATAGATCTAAACGGCGGATTAAGGTTTTACATAGGAATATCTAGGAAAAAAAATTCAAAAATCTTCTTCTTAAGAACAACGTCATGATTAGTCATATTAATATGGAAGCATCATCAGTTAGTGTAGATGTACGTTTGTTCAAATCATGACCCCCGGGGTAGGGTGGGGTCACAATGGGGGATCAAAGTTTTACATAGGATATATATATATCGAAAAATTTTCTCCACAAGAACAGTGAAGCCATCTTTAGTCAGATTGATATGGAAACATCCTCAGGTATTGTAGATTCAAATTTGTTTAAACCATGATAACAGGTCATATAAAATTAATTTTCCGCCGGAATATGGCTGAAATATAGCCGACTCGGCGTTAAACCCTAATCAATCAATCAATCAAACCATGACCCCCTAGGGGTAGGATGGGCCACAATGCACTATCAGGGATTAGCATGTGAATGTATAGGAAAAAAATTCTAAAACCTTTTTTTCAGGAACAACAAAGCCATGTTTAGTCACATTGATATAGAAGTATATTGAGGTAGTGTAAATTCAAGTTTGTTTAAATCATGACCCCGAGGGGTAGGGTGGGGCTAGCGCTATATCTATAAAAATCATGACACCTGGGGTAGGGTGGGGTCACAATAGTGATTAATGTTTTACATTGGAAGATATGTTAGAATAAATTTGCTGATGAAAAACAGCAGGGCCTTATTGACTCAGGTGAGCGTTGTGGCCCATGGGCCTCTTATTTTATGTCAAGGTCTTGGAAAATCGTAGGACGATTCTTTTATAAAAGGCAGTGACGAATCGAATGTATAATGGTAGTACAATGTATATTTATCTAGAATATATTCACCACATACAATCAAAAGATACGTTCAGATTTATTATCCATGTATATCACAAAAATGTTATGTTAGAATGATCATTAGTTGTACTGTATCCGTATCTATAGACTTTGATTCATATAGCATGAAAAAGAGGGAGTATTTGTTTCTGTATTCACACAATGAATTGGGAAAATAATCACCTTAAAAATAAGAAAGGGGTTCATCAACACTACGTACATAATGTATGTGGTAAATGCCTTGTGTAACAAGTAAAAAGAAATCTGTAATACACCAGGTGGTGTTTATTTTCTACGTACTTGATACGCAAGGAGCAGATGGAAATTTAAAGAAGGTGTTATTGCCACCCCTCCCCCTCTTCCTCACCTGAGATGCAATGTATTACCGGAAATTTCTCCAGCCACTACCGAAATTATTCATATTACATGCGCAGATCTGGGGGGGGGGAGTCGGGGGGACCCCCCCATCTGGAATTTGCAGAGTTATTAAAAGTATATACTGAAGTAATGACTTTGGGCCCCCTTAGAAAACGTGGACCCTACCATCACCACCACGAAATAGGTGTTTTTCACGTTTTGGAAATGGAAATGGAATTGGATTTTACGTTTTTTTTTTCTTCCTTGACAAGAAATTTTTGGGTTAGAAATTTTTTTGACTGGGATGCCCCCCCCCCCCCTGGAAAAATTCTTGATCCGCGCCTGTATAATCATTATTCAAAATTGTTAGGTTATATCCGAAACAACATATGTGCAATGTATAGCATTTATGAAAATCGAACTTCAAATATTCTGTCATGACTACATGAGACCGATTGTATTATTTCCTCCATGGTTACCACGGAGAATGACTAAGGACTTCGAAAAGAATAATTTAAGGAGATTGGCAAAGTTCCCAGCTTTCGCAAAAAAATTTTCAAAAACTCTTGAGCAGGTGTAGTGGTACTAAACAATACACTTTATTGGTTTTCACCGCGTAGAAAATTCTACACGGGAGATCACTCTCAATCAAGCTCCAGACAGCTCAGTATTACTCCATATCATTATTCGTAGGGAAAGAAGTCCCGGAGAGTATGGAGTATGAATCTCAGTCATACTCCATACAGTGTCAATATTTAATTCTCCGGGACTACTTGGTATGGAGTTGTAGCGTAACGTAATACTGAGCTGTCTGCAGCTTTGACTCTCATGATGGAAAACCCCATGAATTACCTTTTCTCTCCGGATAACCGTGAGTTGCCACTTTCCATAAATGAATAAAATAAATAATCATAAATAATCAGCGTTTTATAAAAGAAATATATTTTTGATTTAAAATTAGACTGAAACGCTTCTAGTCGATATCACGAAAATGTACATATCATGTAGCTTGAAATGGGAAATATGACGCACGCTTGACAACGTCCCCAGAAACAATCAGTCAGTATATTTCTGGGTGCATTTGGGGGGGGGGGTTATAGCACAAATTAATGTAGAAAATAGAAATTCCTTGATACGCAAAAAAAAAAAGGAAGAGGATCAACTGATGTTCCCTCCCCCTTCCCCCGTTCATACAGACGTGAGATACATAAATGACTTGTATATAGAACTGGACATTCAACTTTGCCCAAAATGCTTCATGTTGGTAAAAAAAGAAAATATTTTACAATAATGATTTCAAATTTTAATCGGTCATGCAATACAGCATGCTGGATTATCCCACAGTCTGTCTATTATAGTCACAGTAAAATGTGTAATTTCTTTTTCTTTCTTTTTCTTTTGGCAAAAAAAAAAAAAAAAAAAAAAAAAAAAAATACAAAAAAATACAAAAATGAAATATTATTTCATATGTAGTTCATTATGACGAGGAAGAGTGATATTTTTATAAGAAAGAATTAAATCCAAACCATGATTATACTTTAAATCTGATGTATATGTTTTCAATATTGAATTACAGGTTTTAAGCTTTAACATTACATGTATTTTGTTTCTGCAGTAAATACAGATCGAATACAACATTAGGCTATATATTACCCTATCCACAAATAAAGGGCAAAATATTATTATAAACTGAAAACAAGTTAATTGTAAAAACTAAAGGGAAACATATACATACTTTTATTTTTTATCGGTCTTAGTATTAAACTCTACACTTGGAATAAGAAATTTCTTTAAATATTGTAATAAAAATAGACTATATATAATTAAATAATTATATCACATTTTTGATGTGTACGCATGAATATCATAATAGTATTATAATTTGTTCTTCAGCATAATGTATTAAAATAGAGAATTCATATCTATTGATTTAAAGCAAACACATGACCATTACATTGTCATTGCTCTCTGCCGCGGGCTCTACCTGCGGGTACCTGTCAGGTATACGAATACTTCACACCCCCATTGTTTTATTGCCTATACACACCGGCAGATTTCACACCTTTAATCGTCCTAATTTACACAAAGCAAATGCTGGGGGAAAACAAACACAAGCCCAATAAATGCGACATTTTTTTTTTAAATCATTGCCCTAAACGGTATTGCTAAAAGCACACTAAACATGGAGTACCCCGGTAGCAATTCCTGCCCTAAGAGATATGTTGTACAAAAAAATAAACACAACAGCTAGGGTAAATCCTTAATCTTTCTTCATATGATGTAAACAAACTCTCTTTAATTTTATGTGTTTAAGTCAAGATTAAAACATTTTGCACCACCCGGACCTTTAAACTTAGGTGGACCTTTTCTTATACGGGCCGGACCTTTTCTTATAAAAGGCGGACCTTATATGTTATCGTATTAGGTCCCCCCGGACCTTTAAACGAGGCGGACCAAATATTATGCGACACCGGTCACACCCGCCTTGAGTTCTCTGCATTAGTCAGGTAAATGGTGTAATCCGGAGTCAAAGTAAGAATACAAAATAATTGATATGAAAGATGGCGGTCAAAAGGCGACCCATCAATAAGTTGTATTTGCAAGCAAGGTAATGATAGCAACCTTGGAATTCGCGAAATGAAAACTTTAAACGAGACTGTAGAGAGCCATATAACATCAATTTATTTATCAATAGCTGCCTCTGTTTTCAAAATGATCGTACTCATAACATGCTCTTGCCTATCGAATTAGTTGAAAAACATTAACTCAATATGTAGGTGAAAGTGAAATACTCCTACTTAAATAGGGGAAGCTGATTTCATCCCGCTTGTCAAGTTATGTGACTAGTTTTCGGCTGAGGTGTCTCTAGTCAGTCAATTAAAAATAGTTTCTCAGGTGGCTTTTATTTCGAGTTCGCTAGGCTATATAAAGTCAAAATATGAATGAAAGTAATCAATGTTAAGTGATTAAATTCGTCGTTATCTATAAATATAAAACTGAATGCCACATAAAGAGATTTTTTATCTTCACATGTAAGTTTTTGATAAAAAAAACATGCTTTATGAAAATAGTAACATAACTTATAAGATATGCATGTCAAACGTTCACTAGTGAATCAACGATAATCATAGAAAAAATGTCATAAAAGTTTTGAAAAAAAAATAATGCACTAAAATGATTTTTTCCATAATAATTGTACTAAATAACACATATTAAGTTATTATTAACACGTAGGAGGAACTTTTACTTGCTGATATGAACATATTTAATTATCATTGATAAATGGTATCTGAATATGAAACAATAGAAAGAAATCTTTGCATGTATTTCATACATGTACTAGTTCTCCAGAATGTTTTCATAACAAGGAAAATGTTCTCTTCAGAGGGTGGAAAGTTACTAAAGTTTTCTAAGACATTTGATATATACCCTTTGATGAACACATCCAAGTCGGTAGCCATGTTCCAGGTTGAAGTTCAAAGTTTCCAGTGTATAACAAACCTAAATAAAGGAAAATAAAATTAATTTAAAAGATAATTTCATTGAAAAAATCATTGCTATCAGAACAAATGTATTTAAAAAAAGTTGTCTGATAAACACGATTTCAGCAATATCTTATCATAGAAATATTTTATCAAACTCACCTCCCCTGGATCGCAGACACGTGACACAGTGCAGTTCTCGGTTGACGAGACATGTTCACATTCATAACACTCACCTTAAAACAGGTAACAAGATAGTAATTAATGATCAACATTTTTTGAGCGCTATTGTTAAAGGAGTTAAATAAGGAGATGCACAAATTAAAAAAAAAGAGATATATTCCAAATGCCCTTCATTATTATAATTCATGTAAAATATGTTTGACAAAAGTGAAGATAACGAACAATGATCAGTCCCATAAATCGTAAAAACAATTAAACAAAACGAAAACAGGGCAAAAACACGGACCCCCGGAAACATCAAAGGTAGGGTAAGGTATCTAGGAGGAGGAAACATCCAACAGACAGTTGGAAGACCTGGTATTTAAAGACTATATTGTTATTGTCAATAAGGAACTTCAGCATCTTTAAACATTGACTTTAAAATGCATGTGTACTAGTGCGTACGTAGAATTAAAATGATTTTTAACAAATCAAGTTGATATTGTAGATTTTTTTAAAAAAAATTGGACCTCCAATTTCTTATAGAAGAACGTGTTCTTAAAATTTACCATCAGGAATTGTTTCACAGAGTTTAAAAGGCAGGTTTTAATTTTCAGGATTATGAAAAAAAATTGTGATAACAAATTTTCTAAAAGTTCTTCTGCGGTTTTAGAATTCACAGTTGATTTGCACATTTTCTTGGATATGCTGAGGCATAGAACATCATTGTTTCTCCTTTACAGCAATTGATAATGCTTTGAATGAACAAAGATAGTGGCAGAAAAAAATTACTTGACACTGAAATATATCTATGTAACGATTTTAGTATATGCTCTCTCTCTCTCTCTCTATATATATATACTTAAGGCGAGGCGATACAACAAGTATTACGTAATTTGTAAAGAATCAAGAGTATGAATGCACCCCTATTCTATGCATGTATTATAAAATTTTCAATTAAAAGGTTTTCCCTATATGTCATATACGAGTAAATCATGACTTTAGTTAGCAAAAAGTTTTTCTTCATACGAGTCACACTCCAGTTAAAGAGGCTGGGGGGTTGTGGCCATTTTTAGACTATATTGATCTCCTTTGGAAGAAGAGCTCCATATGAAGATATAGAAAATGATCAAATTTTTAAACTAAAATTTTTGAAATTTTTCTTTGTCAAATGATAGTTGACAGCTTAAGATATCATATCTAAAAAATGAAGTTAAATCTGGTGGTTAATTTGTGGTTAATTTGTTGACCCCCCAGCCTCCTTAATTAAACAATTTGAAGTGGTTTGGTTCTTCTGTAGTATAAGTGATTCAAAAGAGCATTTACTTACAAGAGATTAATAGTAAAACTCTACAAAAACGATCAACACAATGCATGCATAAAATGTGAACTACACTGCATATAAATGTTTGAAAATAATGCGTTGAACTTCAGCTCTTAGACTTTCGTATATTGTATATAATTCCAACAAAGCTACATATCGCCCCTCAGTCAAAAGTATTTCGCAGAAGTTGCTAATTCAATTTTAAAACATATTTTTCAGATAACATAAACCGAAAGAATTTTCATAAGAAAGTCTTCATGAGGCCCCTTCCTTCCCATTTTCCAAAGAGAAAAAGACTCCTACTCACTGCATTTTCCACACAGTCTTGGACATATGTGATCAGCTATACAGTCATCATTACACATGTGAGTATTAATGGTGAATAGTAACGTACACGCCAGGTTGTCGGCGTCAGCACATACAGATGATCCACTCTGACGCTTAACAGCTTGGATTAGAACAAAAATCCAATAACTGAGAACAAACTTAAGTCAAATTATGATTTTGAATAGCATGATTCTTTTTTAACAAATTAAAAATCGCGGGTATATATTTTAACACTCAATTACAAACATTATGAAAACTTTTTTATTTTCAAATTAAAAAAAAAATTATACTAATTTGAAATCTTGACTTTTAGTTGAGACATTAGTAATATTTTCAATACATTTCTGAACTTTCTACGAAAATGTTTGTTGTCAATAGGCGAAAGGGCCAATGTGTCATTTGGTGAGAGAATTTACTCATTCCATCGTGTTGAAACAAGTTTTATTACATTCATTGCTTGATAATTTAATTTTTGCAATTAGATATCGTAGAAAAATGTGTGACACGCTCAATATTTCAAATACAGTGATAAAGACTGAAAATAATCAACTGTGACCAACAAGAAAGGATGTTTTTTAATTCAAAAGAAGCCTAGCACACAATTTTGATTATTCATTATTCTAACTATTTTTTCGATATAAGTGGAAATTATACAAGTTAAAAAAATGATTTAAAAACATAATTCTTAATTTATAAAATATTTTTGGACGTCGTACCTGTATCAGGGGATTTGACCTCTAACTCTCTCTTACTGCCGCCATTTTGATTACAGAGGTCTGACGTACAGCAAGATGTTCCTGCTCTTTTGCTCATTGAACGCTTTCCATAATGAGAACATACCTACAAGATGAAAATAAGGTCTTTTGGGGTTATCAAAAAAGTCCTTGGATTTTGCACTAAGCACAGGATTTTCGACTGTTTAACGAAATTATTTCTGATGGTAAAATTTTCTTGTTGAATATCCCCTTAGGTTGACAAATGGGACGGAAATAACTCCTTGATCATTTGCAAAGAGTGTATTTTATAGGATTAGATTTTTTCAACGATCAGAAATATATTTAGTGGCAACATTTTAATAGCTGTGTTCACAAAGACCTGGAATTGGGATATATTAAAACCAGTTTACTCACCGCTTTAGGGGCACAACCAAGCTTATAGACCTCTCGGAAATCATTTGTGAATGATGCTGCAGATATACATTGCTAAAAAGAAATACACGAAATGCAGTATCTAGTTTGAAGAGTTATTGTTTTTAAAAATAAAAATAATTGCTTTTAAATGAAAATATTCATTACGTAGTCCTGGCTTGGACACTCAATGGTAGTGTTACACATCTGTGATGATGAAATATCTGCACAGGAATAACATCTTAATGCTGTAAAGATAGAATAAAAATGTATTGGGGTTTTTGATTTCCTTCTCCAATTAATGGTTTCTTTTTCAAGCTTTTAAATTGATATGTTGAAACATCAGATCTATTGTTTCATATTTATGATGGATATTAGTAAAAAAGCATATTGTGCTGATGAAAATGGAACAATATAATATTAGCTCTTAAAACAGATATAAACGTACTCACTGATATTATCATATGTTCCTTTCCAAATTCAAACAGAAATTGATTTTTTTTTAATGTAACAGGTGATTTTGAACCAACATAAATGTGTTCTTGTAGAATTGTAATATTACCATGTACTAAGTAAGATATAGTCACATAAACACCCCTTACAACAATATATCTACAAGAAATAATAAACCTTGTACTTATGTTGATTCTACAATTTTTGATGCTGAATAAAAAGTCGGCACAGAAATTTTCCTCATTCATACTGTTATGGATAACATTTTACATATAGTTAAAGTACTTACGACAGAGGCCACAGTAACGCTGACATATAGAGGCATAACACGTGTCGTTACACATGTTTGGTTTTGAGGAGGCCAGACGCTGGCATGCTGCCGTGTCCATGTCATCACAGGCATAACACGTCACAGCGAGACATATCACACCTTCAAAAAAAGAGGCCATGTAATTAAAAGGTCCAGATATTTATCAGTCAAACCACATATCTTTTTATGTGTGTTTATCAATACAGGACCAAAAGATAAGGTAATATTTTGTTTCACTGGAATTGAAATGTATGTTTTTGAAAGTAGAAAGAAACAGAACATGCTAGTAAATATCTTTCTTTTAAATATATAATGGAATTTTCATTTCCTCTTTAGTAGCCCAATTTAAACATGTAAATCATAGCAAAATAAACAAAAAAAATCTACAGGATATAAAACACAAGATGCCCATGGGCCACAACGCTCACCTGAGTAACTTTGGCCCTGCTGTTCTTCACCAGATTTCCCCCCTTGTAATACCTATTGTGGCCCCAACAAAGCCCGGGGGACATGACTTGAACAAATTAGAATCTACACTATCCCAGGATGCTTCCACATAAGTTTCAGCTTTTCTGGCCCACTGGTTCTTGAGAAGAAGATTTTCAATGATTTTTCCTATATATTTTAATGTAAAACTTTGATTCCCTAATGTAAAAGAAGATTCCCTTTTGTGGACCCGCCCTACCCCGAGGACATGATTTGAACAATTTAGAATCTTCACTAACACAGGATGCTTCCACATAAGTTTCAGCTTTTCTGGCAGACTGGTTCTTGAGAAGAAGATTTTAAAATATTTTTTCTATATATTTCAATGTAAAACTTTAATTCCCTATTGTGGCCCCGCCTACCCCGGGGTCATGATTTGGACAATTTAGAATCTACACTACCCAAGGATGCTGCCACATAAGTTTCAGCTTTTCTGGCCCACTGGTCTTGAGAAGAAGATTTTTAAAGATTTTTCCCATATGTTTCAATATAAAACAATGAGAAGATGATTTTTAATGACCCCACCCTATTTTTGTCTTTCCTTGATTATCTCCCCTTGTAAGGGCACTTGGTCCTTCAATTTAACAATTTAAACTTCTCCTTACCCAAGGATGCTTTGTACCAACTTTGATTAACATTGGCCCAGTGGTTCTTGAGAAGAAGTTGAAAATGTGAAAAGGTTACAGACGGAAGGACGAACAGACAGACAGACAACGGACAACGGGTGATCAGAAAAGCTCATTTGAGCTTTCAGCTCAGGTGAGCTAAAAATAGACGAGAAAGTTTTGAAGATTTCAAAAAATGTTTCTGGTCTAATTCTAAATGTTTGTCAAACAAAGAAAGCCTGTTGCGTAAATAAAATCTTATATACGTGTCGATAGTTGTGCAATAAATATGAGGCACTCAAAAAATTCGAAAAAAGTACAAAAATGGAGTTTATACATATGCAAATTAGATAAAATAGCGTCTAGTGTATGGTAAACAATACAATATTATCCTTTGTTAAGAGTTTAAGGTATTTTCCTGACTCAAAGAGATTATTCCTTGGACTTTCACGTTTTCAAAATATGGACCTGAAACGATTTTCAGACTAATGTAAAACCAAGACTACGCATATAATACGTTTTTATGTCCATACGTTTAAATTGTGTCTATTAACGTAATAAGTAAACGTTTAAAATACTTTTAATAGAAGTTCCTGTGGTATACAATTTAAAAGATAAAATGACTCTGTGTGTGTGTGTGTGTGTGTGTGTGTGTGAGTGAATAAGACATTAGACTTACCAATGATGATCTTCCACATGTCAACCATGTTGTAAAATTTACCACGATAAAATTCACGAATGAAGATAAGAACAAACGATGTGATATACATTCAGGTAAGCGTGGTTAATTCTTGTTGATATATGCGGTACTAGTATTGTATTAAATACAGTAACGTAATATATACACAAATATACAAAATGATCAAGTCACTGGTATTTTCTATAATAAAAAAAAGTATATCTTACAGCTAAGAATTAGGAAAAAAAAGTTTACGAAAAGCAACTTAATATTTTAAATTACGTCATCTGATGTGAAATGAGTAGTTTTGTGAAGAGATGGCAAAAGTTCATCATCTTTCTGTCCAGAAGTTTTGAATCATAAATGATTTTTAAAATGTATGGTAGAAAGTAAGAGGTGAATATAACAAACAGCGATATATTTAAAAAAAAATCTACAGATAATACGAATCTGTGAACAGAGCATTAAACATTGACTCTCCCAGAAATTCCAGAGGTGGGATCAGGTGCCTAGAAGGAGTAAACATCCCCATGTTGACCGGACACACCCGCTGTGAGCTCTATATAATGATCAGGTAGATGGGATATCCCGTAGTCATTTTAGTTTAAAAACAAAGGTCTAACAACTACAGTAAAACATGTCAGCCAAAATATGAACCAATGATAGATTATATTTTTTAATAAGGTCATTATAACGAACATAGAATATATGAAATGCTGATTTTAATCGTGGTTGTTGAAATCCCTTTAACATCAACTTATCTGTCAGTAACATGCCTCTTTTAAAAATCTGATCGTACTCAGAGCATGCTCTTGAAAAGGGAATAAGCTGGGTACACACCAAATGCAGGTGATAGCGGAATATTACTACAAGAAAAAGGAAAGTTGACGCTGAAAACGCTGAAATCTCGTTTGTAATACAGTTTAGTTTTTAGTTTCGCCCTTATTGTCTATAGTCTGTAAAACATCCAAATATGAAATATATGTGGCAGACTCTAAATTGTCTGTTATTTCAAGTTCACTGGGATATATCCAGTCTACACATGAATGGAAGTTTTAATTAATTAAACGTCGTCGATATGTCTCACTGATTGTCGAAGTGAAGACAACAGCAAGTGTTTCTTCTTCGCATGTAGAAGTTTTTGAATAAATTCTGCTTCATAAGTATACAAAAACAAGTTATTTTAAAATTTCTTAAAGTTCTTTTGGGATTTTGAGAATCCACTTCTAATTTGTACACCACTTCTAGAATATGCTGTAGCACAGCACGTCTGAAGTTTCTCCTTTACAACAGTTAAATTACTTGTAAGGAGTAAAGATAGGGCGCGATAGAGCATTTGCTGTACCCAGCAATGTATCTTTGTTTGTGAGGGTATCTTTTCTAAGGAACCTTCCAATTCTAAAAAAAATTTCAAATCATTTTTCTGGGACCCTTTCGTAACGTAAAAGTAAGTAGAATCAATTGTGTAATTGGTAATTTAAAGATTACTCCGTCTGGTCCACCTTCCATATGCTGAGATAATATCTAGGTCTAATTGTTCTTTTTTGTTTTATTTAATTTACAATTACATGTATCTACTTTTAATTGTTGTAACGTGAAAAAAATGCTTCCTGAATATTAGTACTAAAGATATCAATGCAGTAACTGTACTAGTGTAATTAATGAATGTAACAAATCTCACAACTCGTATGTTTATCTGGCTCTAAAACGTGAGGTTTGGTCTGTAAGAACAAAGAAGTATCTTGTTTGTTTTTTTTATATTTAAAGGAAGTTAAGCAAAGAAGTTAAGCAAAAATGAGAATGGAAGTGAGATACAGTTATTTGGACATTAGTTTTATTAGAAGATCGGTACCGATACACATTGTAATGAATTAATTTTTATTTATAAAGCACATTTTGCAACAACTCTTAAACTACATAATTGCCCTGAGTGAAGAAATATTAATATAGAAAGAAAAAAAAATCCACTTTTATAAGGATATATTTGAAGAGTTAAAGAAAGATACTAAGAGTGAAATATTAAAAATACAATGCAGTGTTTCATAATTCTTAAAAATCGTGATTTTATTCAATATGATACGGTAAAACTATATTGAGGAATAATATCATACAATAATGATAGAAAAAATTTAAAAATTGCAATGTCAACATATAGCACCATGGGGACACAATAACTCATTCACTAGCTACAATCTTGATTACATCCGAAGCACAATAGTTTCATGCAGAAATTCTTCAAAATCATATGTCATTTTCGGATATTTTTAATATTCCCAACAACCAAAATGAATTTGAATTACGGTAATAGCCATATTTATATTGGATTCCGAAACTTCATAAAAATCCTTACAAAGATACAAAGCGGGTTCCAGTAAATGTTCTACCAAGCCTCTTTCTTTACTCCTCACTAAACTATTAACAGTAGTGAAGGAGAAACTTCAGGAGTACTGTGCAACAATATATTCGAGAAGTGGTGTAAATCAGGTGTGGATACTTAAAAATTCGAAGGAACTTTTGGTAAATTTGAAGTCACACAATTTTACCAAAATCAATAACATAAACACTTACGATTTTTCAACTTTATATGTTCGCATTGCTCTAAAATTTGTATTGTTTAATGGACTTTTGAGCTTGAATACTGTTCGTTATTACCATTTATTTCATGCACATATATTATAGAAATAAAAATAATGTTATACATAAGACTACCAAGATCGCAAATAGTCACGAATCTAACTACTGATAGGGTGATTTGTAAGATACCTTATACAAACAAAGGAAATAAGTTATAATGAAATCATCATCATAGTTTATCTTTGGATTAATTTCTGAAAAAATCGATGAACAACGTTTGATCATGAATATTTTCATAATGTTTAACACGTGTGATTATATGGTTATTTGAATTGAATACTCACCCAGTGTTATTTTCTTGGGGGTTTTATTTTGTGTGTGTGTGGGGGGGGGGGGGAATCATGTATTTCGTTCAAAGTATTAGTACCATTGCATGAAGATGTCAATGTGTCATCAGCGTGACACTATATATATAAATAATATATAAATATTCTATTCCTTTCGAATTTAGTACAAAATCACCCATATGAACTTTACCTATGTTTTCTCCAAAGAAGGCTAACACAATTAATGTAAATATTTTATAAAGAATCATTTTGATTCAGCAAAGTCCACAAACATGGGGACATAATCTTGCTGTGCTTTTATCTAAGCAGACAGAGGATACAAAACTAAAGTCGTTACACCTAGGATCCAAGTTTCGACATGGAGCCTTTGTTGTTGTTGTTGTTGCAGTGGTTGATGCGGAGACGGGAACTAGCTTATGATGATTGCAAAGATCACCATGACAACAACCGCCCGTCAATGACAGTTCGATGTTCTCAGACCGTCGACCAAATACAGAACCTGCTTGTGTTTCGAGAGAGTCGCATATCTTCAAAAGACAGGGGGGGGGGGGGGGGAATCAAAACTTTGAAAATCGGTATTTTACTCAGAGTAATTTTTATCTAAAATTAATACTGTGCAACATTAAAGTAAAAATACTGTGCAACATTAAAGTACAATTCCATTTCTTTTATTTATTATTTCATTTTATTTTGTATCTAATGTCAAAACATGGGACAAGATTAAACATTTTAACATTTGAATATACCTTGTGATGTAGACAGCCCATTCTGTATCCATGTTGAAGTTTGAAATCAAGAGTTTCTACTGTATAGCAAACCTAAAAAATGAACGTTTTCAATAAGCTTTTTAATGATTTTATTCCCTGAATGGATGGAGTCAGATATGACAAAGTCTATGTCATTGGCCCTCGTTTAAATGTGTTAAAAGCATTAAATTTAATTTTCATTAATTTTTGCACTTACATCGAGCTCGAGGTAGAAAATAAGCATGTTGGTAAACAAATATATCATGAATATTTATTTTCGAAAGACAGTGCATGTGAATGACCAAATATGATATCCAACATCGAGTAGGTAACATTTGATAAACAGCTAATTTTTTGTGTCGCATCAAGCCTGTCTTATATTTAAGCATAAGCAGATTTATTTACCAAAACCACGTTATTTTCATGCTTACATTGAAACATTGGGTAATTCGCTAAGGTCATTGATGTCTCCAGCCTGTACTTTGTGAATGATTTTTTTGTTTAAAATCTGAGGTTTCAAATATCATAGCAATTAATCAGACTCAGAATAACCATACTTTTAGCAAAGAAGAAAATACGTCTGTGTTCCTAGTATTTCTGTCAAATGAGACAGTTTGTGAATATCTATTCGGAATTTAGAGATTTTTTTCTCTCTAAAAAGGAAAAAAATAAACAATTATTCCGTTTTCTATCATTCTCTCTGTCATTCATATAAAAGAATTATAATTGTGATGGAAAACTAATGTAAACACATTTATTTTCGTGAAGTAAAATTTTCGTGGCTGATTCGATGTAATTTTATTTATTTGGTAGACATATACATCTCACTGTAGCTAGTGCTTTTAACATTCCGTGGAGGACATGAATTTGTGGGCATCCTTTTACACGAACTCAACGAAAATTAAACCTTTCCAAAATTTGTGATTTTACGTTATCTTTGTCCCGATAATATTTTTCTCGTTGAATTAGAATTAATCCTTTTGATTTCATTTTTCTAACTCTATTACATAAATATGAAAGTTTGCAAGAATCTCGTTACAAAATAGTAGATCATGTTACATCCAGCTGATAGAGATATCATACATGTATTTCATTTAAAACAGATAAAAGTTACCTCTCCTTTGTCACAAACACGGGTCTGATTACATCGCTCAGTCTCATTGACATGATCACAGGTGTAACACTCTGCTGAAAAAAAATAAATGCTAGCACTACTAATTACTAATAACTATATAATTCGGAATTTGGTATAGATTTGCTGCATGTAATTTCCTGTTTGATTAAGGGCGTTTACAACAATATAAAAAGTATCATATAAAATAATTAAAAAAGGACTTACAACACCTTCCACAAAGTCTAGGACATATTCCGTCTGCAAAGCAGTCGTCTGTGCAGAGGTGAGGATTAGTTGTGAACAGTAAAGTACAAGCCAACTCATCTGTGTCGTCACACATAGAGGGCGCTGTCTCTCTACGTGAATCTTAGACATAAGTACAACTGATTAATAATTCATTAATTTGTATGGTAACCAAGATCTAAATAAAAAGGAAACAAGACTGTATAGGTTATTTACTATTTCATGTCATGAGAGAAGGATACCTTTTATGAGAACTGATGGATCTGGGGATCTTTTTATGTGTCCATTGTGATTACACAGATCTGACGAACAACAGGAAGCGTCAGCTCTCTTACTTACTGAACGTTTACCATAATGAGAACAGACCTGACAGAACAGTGAAACCATATCAACAAATCTAAAAGTTGTACATGGCAACAAAACAGTGGGGGTGATTGCAATAGCATGGAAACAAATATACTCTACTGATTGTTTATAGAAAGTTTCTAAAACAAAAGTTTATATATTTCTATAATAATATATGATATGTAAACATTAGGGTACAATATGATAAAAATGAAATGTTTAAAAGTATATTCAGTGACTTAGAAATAAAACATACAGATAGTGGAGCACATCCTAATTTGAAGACCTGTCGAAAATCATTGGTAAAGGACACCCCAGTAATGCATTGCTGGAACAAAATGATCAACATTAACATTAAAATTTCAGAGCATATATTTACAAAACGATGCAAAAAATGAACATCTTTATTCGTGAAGCTATTTATCTTACGTAATCAGTTCCTGGACACTCTATTGTTGAATTACATCTCTCAGCAGAATCAATGTCTGTGCATGAGTAACACTTTAAGGCTGCAATAATTACGTTAATTTTATACACATTTTAATTTTTGAGTTCAATACCTTGATTTAGCCAACCGAAGAGAACACTAAATATCAAATTATTGCTAAAATATATATATATACTTAAAATAAAGAAGAAAAACACGAAAAACCTCAGTAAAGCTTTAGGCCTTTCATTCTATCATCAGAAGCTTTACAAAATAAATAAATAAATTATTTTGTAAAGCTACTGAAGATAGAATGAAAGGCCTAAAGCTTTACTGAGGTTTTTCGTGTTTTTCTTCTTTATTTTAAATATTTTATTCCGACCACTGAGACTTTTTATTGGATTATATATATATATATATATATATATATATATATATATATATATATATATATATATATATATATATATATATATATATATATATATATATATATATATATATATATATATATATATATGTATATTCCGTTAATATAAGGTATTATATGTTCATATTTACATTTGCAAATGTTTTCCCTTATATAACATTACTCTGAGCAATACGTATCTATAACTGTATAAATACCTATACGGGGTCAACAGAGGTCATGGATGTGCGTATGAATATTTATGAAAACTAGGTTAACGGCACTATTTTTACTAAGGCAATACACATTTATCGATCGCTTCCGCTTATTGCAGAAGTCTAAAAATAGATATAACCAACATCACAAATTGTATTTATCGTTTTATTTGTATTCCAAGCAGTGGACTCAATCAATAATAAAACATTTCTGCAAAACAATGTCTTATTCATGTATGTCTTAATTTTCGTCTGCTACACTGACCCCAGGTCACTCTAATGTAAACAATGGCTGAATTTGGCAACTTTGATATGGGTGACGCAGAAATGTACCTTCTGCTAGACGATGACATATTTGCATCACTAGATCTTTCCTTTATGGCACCTCTGAGTGTTGAGGAAACTAATGAAATGGAGAAAGAGCTGAAAGTATCAGATATGGAGGGTATGCCATGTCCTGGTGTGCCTGTTCATACACCCCCACCAGCAAAGAGATTCAAATCTATCTCCGAAAATGAAATGCAGAACTTTCAGGATGCAAGGCAATCTGTATCTACAAAAAGAAACACAAAATGGGGAATCAAGTTGTTTCAAGGTACATTTCACAAGTCAAATCATATTATTGTCAATATTTTAGCTGGTTTGCTGTTTATTTGATCACATTGAGCACAAAATCATGAGTAAAATATGAAATATAATAGTTAAACCAATAACCATTTAGTAAAAGTTTACAACAAAGAAAAGTTGATCCATGATGATTATGATATGTCCTTGTAAGAGAGGCAAGTACATGTTCTATTGTATATTATCTATATGTACAATGAACAGACACACTCACCACCAACAAAGACACACGTGTAAAATACTATACCTAGAGTCGACCAATATGCACAACAAGTGCACAACAAATAACTTGTATGAAATACGTGTATCCAATAACAATGCAAACTGCATTAAAAATTTCTCAAAATATTAATAAAATTTGAATCAAATGACATGCAAAAACTTGAGGAAAATTGTTAAAAAAGTAAATAAATAAAACACTGATAAAATAAAAAATTCAAACACTGCAAGAAATATTTCCAATTAATTTTTAGATTGGCACTTGGAAGCCTTTGGTGAACATCTTGACTTCTTGACAGTCACTGCAGAATTCCTAGCTAACAGATTAAGAAAGTTTTATTGTGAGGCAAAGCCCAAAGAATCGAAAAAACGGTCTGTAGAACTTACTGAAATACAAGCAGAAACTTACCACAAAAACTCCTTGAAAAGTCTCAGATCTGCAGTAAACAGGCATCTGCAGGATTTGAGTAGGTCGATTGATGTCGTAAGAGACAAAGAATTTAAAGCTGCCAATCACACCCTTGATGGGATGTTAAAATGTATGACAAAAACGGGGGCTTCAAGGGCCACAAACCACAAAGAAGTAATCCATACAGAGGATTTACAGAGAATCTCCTCCTATTTCAAATGTGCACCATCTTCTCCTATTGTTCTGCGACAATGTGTGTGGTACAACCTTTCCATTCATTTCATTTCCCGTGGTTTAGAATTTCACCATCAGTTACGCAGGGACTCATTTATGTTCCAAAAGGATGAAAATGGCCTACAATATGCCACACTTAGACATGAAACGCAACAAAAAAATTTCCAGGGTGGCATTGGATGTCATGAAGCCCCTTCGGACAAAAGAATTTATGAGATACCAGGGAATGATTTGTGTCCAATAAAGATGCTTCAGCTTCTGATGAGCAAAACAGATAAAAATGCTACTCACCTCTTTAATTCATGCTTTAAGGATGCTCTCTCTCTTCCAGGTCTGCAAGAAGTGTGGTACACTGATAAACCTTTAGCAAAAAGGTCATTCACAGGATTCATGGCCGATATATGTAAATCGTCAAAATGCATGAGGACCTACACACCACACTGCCTCCGTGCCACAGCCATCACAGCCATGAGTGATGCCGGTTTCCAAGCACGCCAAATCATGTTTATGTCGGGACATCGAAGCGAGGCGTCCTTGAAAACATATAACAGAAATCTATCGAATCAGCAGAAGCGTTTGGTGAGCTCATGTTTGTCAACAATCACAAATCCCAGTGACAATTGTCCCTTACCCACCTGTACTTCCACTTCTACATCCTCTGCGATGTCAGTTCTTTCAGGAGATTCATCTGCGTCTTGTGTTCTATCAATGAATGAATTGCCTACACCTGTCGACTGCAGCCCTGTTCTTCAAGTTCCTCCACCTCAGTCTTCTGTTAACTCAGTAATGTCCACGGAATATCTTTCAAAGTCAGTCTTCAACAACTGCGTCTTCAATTTTCAAAAGTGAAAGGGCGCATAACAACTGTAACACTGCGCACCCCATTCGCAATACGTTTTCAACAGTTTTTCAAAAAACTACCGATTGAGACATAAAAATGATTTTTTTAGTTATAAACTCTTAATTTATTTATATTTCTTTGTTGACACCTTTGCCCTCGAGCTTTATTATAATTAAACAGTTTTACATTTGATGGAACTTTGTTTTGTGTTTACGTCATTTTGAACGAAGCGTTATGTAGGTCAATGTGAAATGTATGGAAACGTGTTGCAAACAGAATTCAGCAATAGTTATCGATCACAAATGTAAATATAAGTAATAAGGTATCATTTTTAAACATCTATCGGGCTATAAATACGGGTTGGTACGAGATCAAATTTACCATAAAGCCCTTCGGGCTTTATGGAATTTGATCTCGTAACCAACCCGTATTTATATCCCGATAGATGTTTAAAAATGATACCTTATTTCTTAATTACAGGAAAGAAAACAAATTATTCTAAAAATAAAAGGAAATAAAAAATATTTTAGAGCTCTTTTAAAATTTATTTTTTGATTAACTTCATGTATGATACACCTTACATAGTTCAAATGTGGTGTACTACATATATGTAGAGAATGTTTGAAAGATATACAGATATAAATATACATGAATATTTGATATACAGATTACCTGTATGTAGGTCATTTAGGAATAAAATAATACATGAATGACAATACTAAAACATTTAAATTTCTATGCATATACTAGCTTACATTGAGAATTTTTTTCCCCCAAAATCTTGATAATCAATTGTTTACAAATCCCTGGCACAAATTCAAACACTTTTATTTAACAAAGAAAAAAAAAGAATTAAAAGCAGTCCCGATAGGCCTATTGTTCCTTCAAAGTGAAAATTTTGTAAGAAACATGTAGTGTTTCTAAAACATTTAATGTTTTGTAAATATTTGTAGAATTGAAATTCATAAACCTCTTATAATAGTTTCTTACAACTTTTATTTGAAACAAAATAAAAAAAAATAATAATAAAAGTTATAGATTATAACTCATTATCATTCTATGGACATTATAATCACATCAATCAATACGCGTAATATGTATATACAAGTGTGAACTGATATTAAACACTCACCACACATTCCACATGTACGTTTACAGGCAGAGGCATAACACGTGTCATTACACATGTCAGGTTTGGCTGCCAGCAGACGACTACATGCAAAATTGTTTACGTCATCACATCCATAGATAATTACTACCATGAAGGGAATAAGTAAGACTGAAACTATGAAAGATTCAAGCTAATGAAATATTTCAATATTCAAACAGACAGTGACGCGCGATACCTGAAAGATAGCGGTGAACAACAAAAGCGTTGTGTTTACTTAAAATGAATTATGAGTTAAAACATTAGATATTTCTTTTAATATTTCAAAATTTCAAAATTCAAATTTTAAATTTCTAAACTGGCAAGGGTAGTCATTATAAAGTTTAATATTTACCATGTGAAATGACTGGCCATATTGTATCCATTTTAATCGTCAAGGATCGACGAGATAAGGGCGTCATTTGTAATGAACAGCCTCATATCACAACATGAGATAATTTTTAGTACCATGTTTCTTAAATACCACTACTCTCTCGAAATTCATGCCATTTTAAAATATAAAACAATTCTTCTCCAAATGCAACTTGTACATTATCTCCGCAAAGATGCAAATGAAATTTCATTTTCATGCAAGTGCATAGGATGACATGTACAAGCAATTATCAATCACTGGTTATTTGCAATTAAATTTCAACACGCGGAAATCGGGTGGTGAGATGAGGAATCCAACGCAGTGCCCTCCACTGGGTAACCATGGTTGGTTTACGGTTTAGATGACTGCATCCATTTATACATAGCCAACGTTTGATAGGGAATTTAATTCTTATTCAAGAAACGGGTAAATTTTCGAGAATTTGCCACTCATACGGATATTTTATTTTAAAGAAATAGATAATACAAACAAGAATGAAATCATATTAACTTGAAAATATTTTATTTTTTGGTTATTGTTTGTCGGCTTGACAAATGGGATATGCCAATGTTGAGCAAGAAACAGCTCTCAATTCCGAGTGGTAATCAAAGATTGCACAGTGATATGATGAGATGCTGGCAGCATTGTCGAACATTGCTGTTGGTACAGGGACCCTCGAAGACTCCCAAACAAAATTCGTGTGGACCGGATTAATAGCACCCACATAAAACTGAGCCGTTCTATCGCCATGATAGAAATGAGAATATGAGGTATGGCCTATCAAAATAAAATTGTTAAATTAAGGTGTCAGTACATGCATAAAAAAGATTTACCTTTCATATAATACTTTGTTTAGAGATCTGTTTAGAGAAATTTTCTTGAAAGTAACATGCAAAAACGTACGAAAAATGTTTGAGATGACATTATGCATTTCGTGTTCATCATTAGCGAATTCTGCTAGGTGAGCACATCTAGATTTGCAGTATTCCTGTAGAGTAAAATAAGTTATTGAGGTAGATTCAATCTGAATCAGATATGTATTTTAAGATCATTTTAAAAACAAATTGCTTAAATAAAACAAAACTGTACTGTTTGATATTGCAACAACCTGGGCGTGCTTTTATTTGTATTGTCAACTTTTATTTCTCAAAAGTCAAAAAATTATGAAGATAACGAACAGTTATCACGCTCAAACATCCATTGAAACAATACAAATCAGGAGCAGAGCAAATGCGGACCTTATAAACATCAGAGGTGGGATCAGGTGCCATAGAGGAGTAAGCATCCCCTGTCGACCGGTCACACCCGCCGTGTGCTCCTTGTCATGGTCAGGAAAAAAACGGAAAAATCAGTAGATAATTCAGTGTCTGAATAATGACCTAACAATTAAGATGCAAAACCTCAGTCAGCATTCAACTTAATGACAGATTATTTTTGCTGTCAAGGTCATTGAATCGACCATAGAACTTGCAAAGTGTTTGTCGGAATTTTAAATTGTTGAGCTAAATAATATTGGATATACATATATATTACATCAGCATATTTTATCTTCTACTCTTAATTTGAATTTAACAATATACATGTATTCTGTTTCAGTGATATTAACCACTACCATTCAAGTTGAAATTCAACAGGCAAAATTATGATCCTTTCTGTAATCTAAGTCAAATCAGACAAAAATTGTAGAAGTATTTTTTTTTAAAGAAATGCTTATAATATAAGGGTGTGTTTAAAAGAGTGTCAAATAAACGCATTGCACGCAACGACTTTTTATGCATAGGCGCTTCTTATTTTCAACTTATGTTGCACGGTGCCTGAAATTCAGGCATGGACTTACTTGCGCATCTCTTTGAATCATCTGTGTTTGTCCTACCAAATAGCATTTGTTGTTTTTAGTCATATCTGGAGAAAAGGGACATCCGTGGACTATGTTGCACACTGAAAAAGGAAACTAATTGTTATATCTCAATCACTGCATAAGTTGCTAGAGGTAGAGGATTTTTGTAAAGCATACACTGTACCTTCATGGTACAAATGCAATACATCGACATCTAGTTATATAACGCTCTTGTTTGCAAAGAAGCAATTAAATGTCAATTTTAGATGCGCTTTCCTGCTTCTGGAAAATATAAATGTACACATTCAAAGAAAATTTATATGAAAAAAATACTTTAATGATGCACTTAATCTTCAAATAAACCGAAAAAAACCCCCACATCTTTGCCATTTGTAAAGAGTTAATCTATGAAATAAACTCAGAATCTTTTTTACAGAGTATAAAACAGAACTTGTGAATATTCTCAACTCATCTGATTTAATAAGATTTCTTTCATCAGTGGTAAATGAATACATATTATACATATTTTCTGAAACTTACATTTGTAACAAAACATACTACAAATGTTAGTGCACTAAGACTGATTTGTATATTTAATATCTCGATAATTTTAAAGATAAAAATTAAAACCAAAACACTAGTATTGAAATAGGTGTATAACTATCTTTAAAGTTTTCCGTTTTGATTTACCTCTTTGATTGTTTTCTGTTTAACGTCCCTCTCGAGTATTGTTTCACTCATATGGAGACGCCACCACTTACCGGTGGAGGGCTGCAAATTTTAATCTATGCTCGGCATTTAGGGCCATTAAGCAATGAGGGATCTTTTTTGTGCCAACACCTACTGCGAGCTCGGTTTATACAGTCTCATCCTAAGAACTGGTCTCCATGTCCCGCAGTGGATTCGAACCCGCGATGTAAGGATCAACTCCTTACTTCGCAACTCTAGAACAGACGCTCTAACCCCTGCGCCACGTGGGCGACGATTTACCTTTTTGAGTTGTAGTGGTAGCCATAGTTGTTCTGGTGGTGCTGGGAAGTTGAGTGGTTGTCTGATGTATGTTATGATGATTACATAAATCACCATGGCAACATCCACCAGTTAGCGACACCTCAATATTTCCAGAACGTCGTCCAAATACATTTGTTGCCTGGGTTTTCATTTGATCACAGACCTTTAAAAAAAAATGTTATTCTACTTCTTAGGCACAAAAAATATTGCAGAGGATGAAATTATTCTGACTGCATACATGTAGATAACATCAAAAACATTTTTTTTTTTTTTTTTTTAAAAAAAATATGCATATGATTTTTACCTGTCCAGGTAAATGATAATTCCGCTTTACAACTTTAGAACATTTTTTGTTGTTACCTGTTGATGAACACATCCCAGGCGATAACCGTGTTGTAAGTCAAAGTTCAGGGTCTCCAAAGTGAAACATACCTACAAGTACTTATCTTCACTAATTATGTTACTATTTATATATCACAAATCCTCAGAAATCGTAAAAACTGCAGCGTGTTACTACTACCTTGTCATTCTCTCACCAGAGGGCGTTATTCAAGCTTTACTTGTAACGCCCTCTGGTGAGAGAATGCTCACTCTGTGCCTTTAAGGGGATGAAGAACACATGGTCACATGACTCTGTTTAACTACGTCATAGTCTCCGCCCATATAAGTGCAAAACGTGTAAAGCATCAGTTCTTGTATAATTTTTTGACAATTTGTTTTATTTTAATTACCATCTTATATAAAAAAAAAAGTGAAAAAGTTTTAACATTCTTGTAAACATTAACAAATCATGAAAAAAGTTGATCCACTCCTCTGTTTCCCTAAACTGTGCGTCTAAAAAGTCGGTGACGTCGATCCTTTAGTACAGCAAGATCATACTCGGTGAATACAGGGGCGGTATTATTATGTAAAACAGGTCATAATCAGTATATGATGAAATATTTTGAGAAACGAGGAAAACAAAAATTATTTTTGCATGGCTGATGACAGAAATCTTATGTAGGTATATCTTATTTCGCTTATTTATCTTACATGTGACGTCATAGTTGGTTTTTCCCCGTACTCGAGAAATGTAAACATGATACATTTTTGTAATGCTTATGTCCTCTTTAACGATGTCCTGTGCAAAATTGAGGTCAGCTTCACCATTCGAAATTTTTACAGTTAATCAATAATTTGAAGGACTTGCATTTCAATGTAAATTTAAAAACATTGAATGATAGTATATTTTGTAAATTACGTTTTCTGTTGTTTAAGTTGTCCTAAAAGGTACGTAATTTGCCCTATCCAGATGCAGTGTGATAGAAGAAACTTGCTTTTTCGAATTTTAAACTCCATGCATACTATGAAATATTTTTAAAGGATACATGTCCACTATTTTTTATATAAGCTTAAAAAAAACCCATAATGGACAGAGTAATGAGCCCGGAAACATGGAGAATTAAAACTCCACTTAGATAGTGAAGGGCATAGTATTTGTCAATCAATATCTCTAAGATAAAATCTATACCTAATGATATAACTTAATTAGAAATATACCAAATATGAAAAAAAATGAATGACAAGTATTTTTTCAGCTCAAGGTCCTTCTTCCCCATAAGTTTTCTTTTCTCGGATATAGATGAGGCTATCAAATAGAGACAGATACAGAACCATAAGACCTAATAAAGTTTTGGTTCAATAAATAGAACCATAACTCTCTATTTAATTTAAGCTATTAGTTTTTCACTTTTGGAATAATTTAATATTCTGGATTCCTTTCTTTATGAAATTCATTTTGAATGTTTTTTTTTCATAAACCTTGAATATGTTGAATGTTACTTTTTTTTTTTTTTTTACACTTTTAAAATGTTTTAATATCATTGCCTTGAATTTATATGACATAAAATTATATTTATATTTTTACTTTCTTACAGTTTGACTTTTATTATTTACTTTGAAAATCAAATGCATTTTATTGAAAGAAACAGTTTAATTACTGACATTGTGTTTTTTTGTGAAATGAAGTCGGACTTTAATGCTTTATATTAAAGGTGAATTACCCTCTTCTTTCCGTTTTTTCCTCCATTTTTTCTTCTTGAAAAATTTTTGTTTTATCTTCAATTACAAGTACACTATATGAAAATATAAGACATATAACATACATTTATGCAGATTTTTTATAAGCCTTACCTCCCCAGCATTGCACACTGTTGAGTTCATACAACGTTCCGTTGACATCACGTGATCACACTCATAACAAGTAGCTTGAAAAATTATAATAAAAACGTTTATGCTTTACAGATAGAAGAATCTAAATTAATTTTAAATCTTTAAATAAAAAAAGACAAAATAAAACAAAACCTAATTTTTTTTTTAAAATATTTCAGCGACCCTTGATAAAAATATATTTCTAATGCAAAAATTTCTATAAATCGGAGATGGAACAAATTTTGAATTTTCATGCTGTATATTAAAATTTGATATTTCTGATAAAACAATCATGTCGAGGAATAATTTTTAGCTCTTTAAAAATGATCACAAATTAATTTAGGAAATAGTCTATTTGGTTCATAAATATTTTTTCTTAAAGCAAAATTCGGGAGCATCGAATACATGTCATTAGTTTTATTTTAGAATATCAAAAGTCTCTTGCTTACATTTTTAAGTAAAAGACTATTTAGAACAACTATATTATTCATGATTGCACTGCATGTTCCTTGGTCGTCCGTATTTTTAAATCAAACATACACGTATATCATATTTCGCTTGTTTTTAATCTTTAAGCAACACAGATTTCAACCATAAGAAGAAATTTTACTTTTTTCTTTAAAAAAAAACAAAACAAAAAAAAACAAAACAAAACACCCCCCCCCCCAAAAAAAAACAAACAAACAAACAAACAAAAACAAAAAAAAAAAAAAAAACAGAAAAAACAAAAAAAAAAAAAACAAAAAAAAGCCCAAACAAACAAACAAAAAACAAAAACAGTAAAAACGAGTACATAAACTGTTCCGTACAATTCAGATATACAACAACATTATAATCAATAAAGGAAATACATGTATGAAATTTGAAAGATAAAGTAGAATAAGAGACAATTTGGTACGTAATATGTGTTGTTTAATTGTTAGGCCATTTATTCATACTGAATTGACTCCGGATTGATCTCTCTGTTTACCCAGTCATGAGAAATAGCATACGATGGGTGTGGCCAGTTTCTTCTCCATGGCACCTGATCCCACTTCTGATGTTTTAAAGGTCTGTGTTCGCTCTGCCCACACTTTGAATTGTTTCAATAGACTTTTGAGCGCGGTTACTGTCCATAATCTTCATATATCATACATATGTTAGAAAGACAAATATGAGATCACATACTGCATTTTCCACAGAGCTTAGGACAGATGACGTTAGCTATACAATCCTCCTGACACATGTTGATATTGGTGGTGAACAGAATCGTGCATCCTAGTTCATCAACATCTGAACACTGAGGTGAAAGAGTCTGTCTCTGCTCTACTGACCTGACAGAACTGGCTAAAGGTAAAAGAAAAATACATTTTTATAAAAAAGATTCTACAAAGCGAATTCTGAAATGATTACCTTTGGAAAATACTTATGAATTTACATTGATATCCTTTTTCTTAAACCTTTCATTGTTTGTTGTGTTTATGTTTATTAATATGTAGATTTTGTTTCAACCATGACTTGTTAACCGACATTAATTACTGGAAATAAAATATTAGTAATCTTACATGATGGGGTTCGAATAGGATTACGTCTTGCCGGGGAATGATTGTTACAAAGATCGGTTGTACAACATCGATGTCCAGTGCAAACCTTTAAAAAACATTAAGTACATTTGAATAAGCCATTTCCATGAAAGAGGCCTGTATAAATTTCTTCCTTCTCCACCCATAACTAAACTGTCAAAGTACGTATGAATGTGTTTTATCTTGAGTATATAATTATAAATACCAATCATGGTGCATGCTTACCGATGCTGGAGCACATCCCAGCTTGTAAACAACTTCAAAATTGTTTGTGAAGGAAGTCACTGAGATACACTTCTAAAAAAAAATGACAGCATTCAGCCTTACATTATACACTTCATATCCTAGCATGATAACATTTGGTGAAATATGATAAAGGTTAGAGTGATTAACCTTAAAGTTACAATTTAAGTGCAAATAAGTCAAATGTATCGTTGCTCAGCAAGATGTGCACTGACCCCCAATTTTCTTTGCGATTTTGAGACATGCTATATGAGTAGTTATCTAAAATAACTCATATCACAAGTGACATACTTAAATGTTAGTTAAGAATACGTTATCGAATGATATAACAGATAACCTAGTGGTAGGGCCTTCGCTTCGTTATGGGAGGCCCGGGTTCGATTCTCGTTTGCCGCGCCGCGTCAAACCTAAGATGTAAAACATAAGTAGTGATTTTCCTTCCCAAGGGCCTAGGTCTAAACTTGAAGCCCTTCATGGGTACATGGTGACGTCTCTATATGAGTAAAAAATTCTCGAATGTGATGTTAAACAACAATCAATCAATCGAATGATACATTAGATAACAACATATTTATTTTTTATATATATTTTACTTTTCAATTTCATTAACTATAGTACTAGGAAATTATGACACCCCTCTCTTAATGACAAATGTTCGGTTACTTTTCAATTCCTTAATCTTTTATTTCATTTAGCTAATTGATTCAAATCCTTTGATCCATACCTGCACTTATAAATCTCTAATAATGATAAAGGATTTAAGAATCCATACGACAGGAAATAAAATTTCTGCTTATTATTGGCCTGGGGTAGGGTAGAGTTATAAATAAATTTTGCTATTAAATCCTAATCCTCATACATGTATATAAAAGAGCAGGGGGTATTAGATTATTCATTGATAGAAATTAGAATATCCCAATATGTTGCATTGCAAGATATACGTAAATAAAGCTTCCTTCTTTTATGTTATTTGGATTTCATTTAGTTCTTACTTGGTCACTTGTGGAACACTCCACCGAGTTGGTACATTTAGTTGGGTCAGTGATATCATTACAGCTATAACACTTCAGGGCTATACATAGACAAAATGAGAAATTGTGAATATAAAAGATGAGCATAGAACTATAATTCCAATATCACTAAGCACTGAGATTAAGCAAAGCAAGTATATCATAATGTACCGACATTTGACTGTTTTATAGATGTGAATATTCATATTCGAATTAACAAAGAGTGATTAAAACATACGGCATAATCCACAATGACGTTTGCATACAGAAGCTAAACACGTGTCATTGCACATATCCGGTTTGGTGGCAGCGAACCTCTGACACGCTCCTGAGTCAAGATCATCACAGGCCAATGTAAGACTGGTAAAAAGTAGAGCAAGACCTGACAGGAACGGGCAAAAGGAGACCACGAGTTAGAAAAGGGGTTGTTAAATCGAATGTTGATTTGTTTTCCTGTTTTTATGGATTCTGTATAGAATCAGAATTTATTATTATTACTTTGAAAACACGATTAGTGATTATTCATAATTATATCCAAAAAGTCCATGTAAATTACATGGACAAATATCAAGTTGTTCATGAAAATAAATAAATAATTTTCTTTTTCATTTAAAGACAGGGGTTGATTGATCTTATACCAATAAAAATCCATAGAAATTCACTGGTAATAGCCAAAAAATTCCCTGATTTCCCTATAACCTTGAGGATAGACCTTAAATAATGAAAGACCTTACCAAGTGCCGTGTAATGCCACAAGGAATCCATTTATTTCCTGTGATATTTGAGTATAACAAAATCACAAAGGAACCTTGTAATATCCTCACTACATTGTAAAGGTAGGATCTTATCTGTGAAGGTGTACACATTATCTCAGTCTTGGTCTTACACTGGACATGCAGCGCACAAAAAAGTTATCACTTCTATTTTGAATTTAGTTGTTATAATATATAAAAAGAAGTTTGTAAGGGGCGTTGTGTTCATGAAAACTCAAGATCCTATAGCTACGTGCAAAAGGCTTTGGCATATGAAAAAAAAAATGTAACAATACTTCGACTATCCATTGATTAGAATCATGGTTTTACAACAAAAATGAAAATTTAAAATTGGAAAAATAACTCTGGTTCCAATGAGAAAAGATTCAACCTGACGTTGGTGCAAAAAGAAGAAAATTCATTACTTTCGAGAATGTCTAAATGTTGGCTGGAATTCTCTTTCCCTTGGATTTAATGGAATAAATTAAATTCATATCTACAACTACTTTCCCTTTTTCTTAGATAATTTTGGATGAAATAAAGTATGCATTTTGATTAGGAGAAAACTGTAAGATCCTTTAACTATTGAACCTTTTAAAAATATTTATAGATTTGCAGGTAAACAGTTGAAGGGAGAAGTGATTTTTCCTTGAATATTTTCATTGGATACTGAAAGAAAGTAGTTGAAAACAAGTTGAATTTCAAAGATAAACTGCAAAACAACCAATATGTTTGCTAACATGTTCCACTGTGCGTGATTATAACCTTTCAATGACAGAAACTTGACTGTGTGGAAGTGTATAATGGTACAACAAAACATTAGATCATTTTTTCCTTGTCTACGTCCTGCGGTATATGTTGGTATATGTCAACTAGAACATATTGTTTTAAATAAGGTAAATTGCAGGTAAACAGTTGAAGGGAGAAGTGATTTTTCCTTGAATATTTTCATTGGATACTGAAAGAAAGTAGTTGAAAACAAGTTGAATTTCAAAGATAAACTGCAAAGCAACCAATATGTTTGCTAACATGTTCCACTGTGCGTGATTATAACCTTTCAATGACAGAACTTGACTGTGTGGAAGTGTATAATGGTACAACAAAACATTAGATCATTTTTTCCCTGTCTACGTCCTGCGGTATATGTTGGTATATGTCAACTAGAACATATTGTTTTAAATAAAACTTAGTCAAGGTATCTAATATGACATTTTTATTTCTTAAATTTTCTAATGTGATTTCCTATTTTAAAAGAAACATCATTGGAACTCTCAATTTTTATTATAATAATTATTCGTTTGAGATTTAGCGATATTAATTATATAAATCTTTATAGAAAAAGTGGCAAAACATTAAAGTAAAATAAAGAATTCAAGTAGAGATTCAGTGTATGTACTATATAGAAACTTTAAGTTTACTTGATTAACAATAATTTACCTTAAGCAAGTCTTTGTTAGGGATATCATGAAATTTTATACAATGATAAAACTCTCTACTCTACCTACAATAGTTCTTAGAAAAAAAATTTGGCATTCCACTAACAAAACATAACTACAGTTTACTATAGTATTAATTTTGTTAGGGTCCACTCCTTTAAAAGGACGATGCCATATTAAAAAAAACTGTAAATCAATAAAATTTACAATATTTTATTGTTGTTTAGATTGGCACAAGGGATAATATGTAGCAGTGCAACTAACTCCACGTAACTCGTGTCCGTTATGAGCAACGGCACAATTATGCAAATGATTTGAATTTGGGTTGTCAAACATTGAGTTTGGAACAAACTCTAGGGTTGTCTCCCAAATGAATTGTCCCGAATGGGCGGGATTGATCGCATCCACAAACACATCCGGTAGATTATGACGATGTACGGCTGGTAGATCTACAATAGATTAATTGAAACAAAATCTATTTTTAAATGCATTTGAGACATACATCAGGATCTTGACTGAACGACAAAAGTGTCACTTAACATGGAGAGCAAAACAGAAAAGTTTCTTTTGTAACTTGATGTAATAACATAGATTTCTGTGACAGAAGTCAAAGTTGTGAAGTGGTTATACAAAACCAGTCAATAGGTATCAGGCAGACAATGGTATGTGATCAGTTAAGCTCAGAGACTGCTCTGGCTTAGGTGAGCCAAGAGTACATAGAAATCTCATTGCTACGGTGAATGAAAATGTGCTAATTACTAGGATTATTGAAAAATGTTGTTAAGGCCAATATGCTAAGCAATTAGAAGTGGAAAAAGTTTTGGTCTGTTACTGAAAGAGTTTGTTATGTTTTGTTCGTACGTAAGTGGCTTTAGTTAATAGTTGGTGAATAAGTACCTACGTTCGAGATTGTCGTCGTGACCGACAGCATTAAGTATATGTCGCAGATCCCCAGAATCGTGGAACACTGCTAGATTACTGCAGTGGGACTCACAAAAAGACTGCAATATTTTACGAAATTAAGTTTAATGTAATAGCATTTTATAAATTTAAATGATTTTTATAATTTTTTTTCCTTTCCAGATTTTTAATGATTTATATATACTATGCTTAGATCAAATTAATCACATATCCTAAGAATACATTTAAGTTAAACTTTTTACCTTTATGCTTAAATTAATACATGACTGTACATTCCAACAATGAAAAAATTACTTTAGCATTCAGCCATGTCATCATAGTTGCTCCGAGGAAGTAACATTTTCCGAACACTCTCGCCGCAGGACTAAAAGGACACCCACTTACCATCGAACACGCTGAAAATAAAAAAAAAATCTCAACAAAAGACATGCAAGGCCTAAAAATACTATACAGCTTCTGTTCGTTGATTGCAACTGTAAAAAAAGCACATTTTACATTAAAGTATTATATATAATGAAATCATTAGGGGATGGAACAAATAAAATGAAATAATTTTAACGATTTCATGAACCCCTGTGAAAAATATCCCCGAAAGGAATTCAAGCTTTACAGTATTGTTTATCAGTCATAAAAAATTATGTCCATGGTAGATCAATTATATAAAATATTTCCTTCGAGATAACCAAAAATGGCTGTCTCCTGGTATCAAAGTAAAATTATTTGTTAAAGAATTTAAATCAAACTTACTTCTAGATGTAGTGGTGGGAATGGTTTGCATTGTAGTGACTGGTGGTAGTGTAGATATGGCTGCCGGAGTCAGTTTGTGGTGATTACACAGATCACCATGACAACAACCACCCGTCATTGATACTTCTATGCTGTCAGATCTTCGTCCGAATACATTGCCAACTTGTGTCGTGATTCTATCGCAAATCTTTCAGAAATATTTTTATACGTACTTAGATGGTTTTGAGGAAATGGTCATATCAAATACAAGAGTTAAAAAAGGCCTTGATATTTTTTTCTCGTTAATTTTCTTTTGCATAAGAAATATCTTGAAAAATTTCAACAGATATAATTATACTAAAAGAGCAAACAAACATATTTGTCTGTTCATGGGGAAATATATTCTGTAAAGTCAAGTGCCTACCGTACCTGTTGATGCACACAACCCATCCGGAACCCATGTTCAAGATCAAAGTTCAAAGTTTCTAATGTGAAACAAACCTGCAATGTACGTTGATGTTAAATCTTTGAGTCATGTTCCTTTGTTTATTTTTTATTTCTTGTAAATAGTACAAATAAATTTTGCAAACTAACCTCCCCTGCCTTGCATATTCTGGAATGATTGCAGCGTTCTGTTGTAAGCACGTGATCGCAATCATAACACTCAGCTAAAAAAGTAAAGTCCTGGTGCTAAATATTTCTAATTGAAAACGAAAGTATTCTAACAATACTAATAGAAAAACAATGAGACAAAATGTGATTTTATGTTCACCATATTAAAATTCATAGGAATGATATGGCGGAAACATTAAAAGATTTTATACATGGATTAAGTGATGCTGACATTCATTAACAATTTAAAGACTGAATATTTTCATCTTTTGTTCAAATATTCATTTTTCATCAGTAAAAAGAGCTAGTATAATTTCCTTTAGATGGCACATTACGTGGGGGCTTAATACAAAAATGAATACCTATATACATGTTGTAATTAAGTCTTAATAACCTACTGCATTTCCCACAAAGTCTAGGACAGATGACGTTGGCAACACAATCATTCTGACAGATGTCAGTATCTGACGTAAACAATAGCGTACAGGCCAGATTGTCTACGTCAGCACAGGCCGGGTTCAGCGTCTGTCGTCTGCTGGGTACTACAATGGTAACTATAACATGAAATTTCGACTAGTAGTTTGATAGTTACGATTTGATTTATTTAATTATGACTAAGGAAAATGATGATAATTCAATGGAAACAATTTAAGCATCTAAGTTTTAAAGAATATCCTTCAGATAACCTGGACTTTCTTTCTTTTCTTCCTCTGATCGTCGCTTGGTATTCGCTTTATTGTTGCATAAATCTGAAGTACAACAGTTTGTTCCACTGCAGATCTAAATGAGAAAATGTTTCCAGATACATGTATTTAAAATGCTATTCCTGAAAAATGTTTGTATTCTAAAATAAGATTTTAAACACAAATATCATAATAATGTTTTGGAGTTACCGAAGATGGTGCGCATCCTAATTTATAAACAAGACGAAAGTCATCCGTGTACGATTTCACTGAGATACACCTCTGTTCGAAAAAGAAAAAAAAAAGATATTAACACTACACACCAGCTACTTGAGGAAGATTTGAGAGTCGGTTTAAGTTTAAGGTAGATTTATATAAACTCACGTGATCGTTTGATGGGCACTCCGCTGAGACGTTACAGGACTGGGGGTTAGCAATATCATGGCAGGTGTAACATTTTAGTGCTGTAGAAACGTTTATACATTGTAAAAAAGTAAATGTAAGCCTCATAAAAACTTCGATTGAATTCAGAAAATTTCAAACTGCAACAGTAGATAAATTTAATTGCTTCAATGATTTAAATCTTGTTTTGTAATATTGAATATTCGATGTTACATTAACATGAATTTTATGGTAAATTTAGTTTGAACAACAAATGGGAAAAAATAGATATTCACATACGACAAAGTCCACAATGTCGCTTGCAGATAGAAGCAAAACATGTTTCGTTACACATATTTGGATGTGATGAAGCAAGTCTGACGCAGGCTGCAGCATCGATGTCATCACAAGCTAGGAGTCCCGTTGTGAACACAGTGAAACTCACTATAATAAGTAAACATGAAATGCATTCGATACTGATAAAGCAAAAAATGTTTCCTGTTAGTAGTCAAAACTTTTTATCAATGAGAGTACGTATCTGCTTTCCAGTTGAGTTATAATAATTAATAAGTGAAATACTAAAAGAGTAGCATATTTACCAAATATTGAATTCCATATTGTAGCCATGTCTGTTGAAAAAGGGTAAACTAGTGCAAAATTTCTGATAAGGTATAAGTGACTCTAATCATTTGATTGACACTAAGTGGAAAACAATCTGCAGACGAAAGATTCCACGTGACTTTTTAATTCGAAGTCAAAGTCTTTCAGTTATTTCTAAGAAAAACACGATTTGCAGGTGTTTTTATTTAGGATATTTCTATTTCTTATTTAACAAAACGCGATGTATTATTTCTTAATTGAAGATACACGTACAGATGCTTGAATGACTGTTTTTTTTGATTTATTTTCTCATGCTATTGATGTGCAACACAAGTGAAGTCTCAGCTGTATGATAATTTTTTTTTGCCTTTTTTTAACCTCACAATTTTTATCCGCAGTATATTCCAAGATCAGTACGTTCTTTCCTATGAATTTTGTATGAATTACATCAAATAAAAAGTAAAAACACAAACACAATATAAACCACAAACTCTGTATCCGAAGAAGGATTATTTTTCCTCTTTAAAAACAGCCTGTCCTGATGCAGTGCAATCTTGCTTTGTGGTTACGACATATTAATGCAATACTGTAGAAATTAAATGAAATAAAGATTTTTTTTTTTAAATATAAAGATATGCCCATAATATTTTGAAAAATAACATAAAGACACACAAAAATATAGATTTGAATACATTTCCTAAAATTATCTGGCCTTGGTGTCTATATAGAGGATATTCAATGTTTTGTAGCTGGATATGGAATTCATTTCACGAGTGGGACAGGATTTTTTGATAATTTCACGAGTGCGAAGCACGAGTGAAATATTTAAAAAATCCTGTCTCACGAGTGAAATAAGTTCCATATCCAGCTACAAAACATTAAATTTTCTGTTTATTACATTTTCTTTGAATTCCCTTTGCCTATGTCTTTTCTTAACACAGTGCCATAGGCTGTAACGTCATAGCTGAGTAATTAAGACGTCATAGCTTAGCAATTGTGAGATAAAAAACATTCTAACATGGATTTTAGCTACATATTTGGAAACAAATTGGCAGTTCTAGTCTCTATCAAGACGATTTACTTACTATCTCTATCTGGTGACAGACAAAAATTAATTTTTACTTTCTTTGATATCCTTTCACACTGTAAGAGAATTTCACTTTCGTATCATTTCACACTGAGAGAATATCACTTTTATTCAATAAATAAATCACAGTATTTCACTGTTGAAAATGTAAAAAAAAAAGTACCATATATTGCAAACATTTGGTCTTTCAATAATTTGAAAATGTCTTTTTCATTCCACTTGGTCTTTGTGAATCCAGTTAGTGTGGCTACGAGGAACTCAGTTAATATCATTGACCATCACTCAATTCAGAATATACGTCTTTATTCGTTTTACTCATTTTCTTCGAAAAGTTCTTCTTGTCTTCAAGCATGTTGGTCAAATCTTTCACTCACAGATTTCTTTGGATTTCTCGAACTCAAACTGGAACGTGAATTTTGAGCAGGACAACAGAGATGAATACGATGCCATGTATGAAGAAATACGTACAGGAGAACCCGGTTATAACTGAATCCTGGGGACCTGGGGCCCGTTTTACAAAAGAACTTACAACTAAGACCAAAATTTAATTATGCTTATTACTTTCTATTTATTATGAATTTGAAAACGGTTTTATTCTTTTTAAAAAGAATTTAGAAAGATATTTTTATTTTATCAATTTCAAACAGAATAATTAATTTTGCAACATTCTACAATCTACTTAAGTTTTTGGTCTTAGTCGTAATTTCTGTTGTAAAACGGGCCCCTGCTATTTTCACTATATTCGTAATTCATTTCACCATATAAAGAATTCGTTAAAGAATAAAAATAGATTTCGCAATATCGTTTTCGCTTCAAGTATGACCGGTCATGGTAGCCAAATGGCGGGGTGCTCCTTCCTGATTTGAAGGTATCAAGTTTGAATATTAGGTGCGCGTCCAGTCAAACCTAAGACTTCAACATAGATAGTGCCTGTTCGCAAAGCGTCCGGCACTAAAAGTGAAAGTTTCGGATGAGACCTTAAAACAGAGGTTCAGTGCAACGGTAGGCGTTGGCATGATAAAGAGCCCTAACTGTTCAATGAGCCTGAGTGCAGAGTAAAGGTCTAAATTTGAAGCCCTTAACCAGTCTCATGAATGAAAAAATCTGGCAAGGGACTAAACAAACAAACAATCAATATATTTTTCAAGTATAACTCTCAAATGTATTTTGGGAAGTATTAAATAAATTGAATTTCAGGAGTGAATTTCAAATATGAATGCTTACAATGATAATGCTCTTCAGTATTTAAAAATATTGAGATCTTTGAAAATTTTGTTATGTAAAATGTACTTTTCGTTATTTTTAAACCTCTAGGTGACACAAAATCAGTTCGCTATATAAGTTAATTTGCTATATCCGAGTTCGTTATAAAATTTTTACAAGGAATTGTTAAAAATTACAACAGGGATTCTAAAAGCGTTTGCTATATCTCGATTCGTATTGAACAAGTTTAAACATATTCCCCATCAAATGATTACGCCCACTGTGAGCCCTATGTCTTAATCAGGAAAATGCAGTAATCTGTAAAGAAGGCCGAATGAAATCAATGTCCTTACAATTTTCTTGAATAACGTCAGTCAATACCTTACCAAAGAACAAAATTGTACATGCTAGCAAGATTATTAATATATCTGTGACATTTATTTATCAGCCTCGGTTTAGCAATCAATTTTTTGGAGAACCTCAGTTAAGAAATTAATCGTTTGGGGTATTTGATCTTGCGTATGGAATCAAATGGAAAAAAAGCTATATGCAAAGGACACTGATATTTTGTCATATCAATAAAAAAAAATTGAAGTTATCCTCTTTATTATAAATTTGAGTTGTTTTCTTTATCTAGAGCTATAATATCCTCATATAAAACAGATTTCTCATACTCTATGGTGTCCTTATGTCGAGTTCAACTGGCAACCGTCGTCGATATACTTTAATTTTCAAATTGACTATAGTAAGAACTACTTTTTATGTAGAAATTTTAAATAAATTCCGATTCAGAATCAGAAATGCATGTACAAAAACAGGTCTTCTAATAAAAGGTCACAATGAATACTAATGGAAATCAAGGGATTGCTGTAAGACATGGCACCTGAGGATCATGATGTAGCAATTGTAATTTTTGCAGAATTGTTCACTATTTGAAATAATGATAGAAAACACTTTATTAAAAATTTCTAAAGTTTTCGTACTTTTAAATACATTTTACATTCAGAATGAAAATGATTTTATAAAAAACGTATTCTGAGTGACTAGCTAATAACATGATATGTGTATGCATATTTATTTATTTATTTATTTATTTATTTATTTTTTTTTTTTTATTTATTTTTTTTTTTTTGATATTTTTTCATGCTAAATGTATCAACTGTGGAAAAGTCGGATATTTGAGATGGCTGATCATGAGAAAGTGAATTTTTAAATTTGCGACATGTTCTTTGAAGTTTAATATCGAATAAAAGCCTGCATTTTAGGTGAGTAAATGAAAAGGAAAATCCTAAATCAAAAATTAATGCTGGTTTACGCGACTTAAATTGTACAGCATTCTATATTTCTATATTTCAATGAACTTTTGAGCTTGGTTATTGTTCCTTATCTCCATATTTCATTCATGATTGTACAATTATGATTCAAATAAAAAAGGAACACTTATGGTCATAACTTGTGCAAGAAATGTGAATATTTTAATGATTTAATTGACATAATGCGTAATGGCTATCGGAACAATCTTCTGCATGAATTTTATGCGTTCGTAGTGCCAATACAGTACACATGTCCCTGTATGTTGTATTTACATTGTGAAGATCTATCAGACTTGAAGGGACAGATTGGCCAGTGGATTCCCACATGTATCTTGGATGAGTATGACTCAAGTGTGTCTTCACTGCGTCCACAAACATTGTATTGTGATAATAATGCGACAGAAAGCCTAAAAAAGAAGTGATTCACATTATATATATATACTTTCATATAGGTATACCAATACAAACAACACAATTTTTTAAAAAATATTTTATACATACCCCCAAAGGATGAACCTGTATATGAAATATGATTGTAGAAATAATGTGAGACGTCATAAACGTCGGAAGTAGAGGAGAACCGAGCCAGGTGTCCACAGTGAGCACGGCAGTAGTCCTATTAAATGATGATGATTTAATTATAGCATTTTATAACGTCATAATTGGAATGAGGTATAATTGGATTTTCTGGGTAGAAAGATTTAATCATTTGATAAAAGTTCAAGGCTTTTTATGATGGTTTGCACAACCTTTCAACATCCTAGTCATGAATCGATTAATTGTCGAAAAAGCATTTAGTCTCCAATTCCGAATTTTTGTTTAAGAATCTTAAAAAAAATTGACAGGGTTTTAAGCATTCCATGTATGTTCATTTTTCCAATAATTTTGCATATTTAAGAGATTTTTTCAAGGAAATATTTAAAATTGAGGAATGAAAGAGTCTAAAGTTTAATTTAAACTCTTTTTGGCAATATGGCAGAAGCAGAGAGCTTGGCACTTCATATCATACATTTGAAGAATTTAAAGAATACCATGAGATGTTTCAAACTAATTCAATATTTAAAATGATCTGATTAATCGACCTTTGGATATTTAGCGGTAGTTAGTAGAACATATATTTTAACATTAATTTAATATGGCATAACGATTCTGAAACATGTATTCACTACGTAGGAAGTACAAGGTACAAAAAATTGCAACAAAGTAAAATGCCTGGATAAAATTTTGATATTGTTAATTTTATAAAGCAGTCTATATTTAAAAGTGTTTTAAAGAACATTTAAAGATATGTTCAAAACCACTTGAAATGTATCTACAGTTTTCTGTATACTATGTATTTCAAATGCAAGGCAGAGACATGCAATTTTTACACTCTACATTGCTTAAAACAACACAGCTACAAAAGTATGAAGACTATAGGCCTATAAAAGATTCATTTTAATATTTGAGCACTCATTCTCATGTAAATAATCTTTTGTACAACGAACAATACATACGAGAGTCATTAAAAAAATATGTAGACTTTTGTCATAGCTTTTTTATTTAACTTTATATTATGATCAAATTCAGTAGATTTTTTAAAAAAATAAAACCGAATAATTTGAATTAAAAATTCAAATACATGTATATCAATATATATTGCAAATTTATTAAAAATATAAACTGCAAAAATGAGATCACGGAGCAAGTTACATGTTAGTAATGTGATCGCAATATACTATACATTGTCTATAGTCATATTTCGTTAAAATGGCGTTAAAACAAAATAAAAATAAAATATTTAAATTGAGCATGGTTATATCATTTCATATGCCGAATTGTGATGTGATATACTGTAAATCACTTTTTATTCGCGAGAACTTTATTTTCGCTTAATTACATGAGACATTTAACTCGCGAAAATTTCATTCTCACGTATAATTGTATTCCTTAAGATTATATTGAGGAATAACAACAATTCGTGAAAATTATGTCTCGCTTATAAAGAGCCAATAACTATCTCGCGAAAATAAGGTGTCGCGAAAATTTAGTGATCTACAGTATTGTTTTGTTGAACAGAAATCAATTTCAGAAGACAAGTAGTGCTTCTTTAAAAAGGAAAAAAAATGACGTCGCAGGACGTTACGAAACAGCGAATAGCGACACAATTTTGTGTTGCACTCAGAAAAGTTCTATAACAAACTCCGAAAAAACTGAAGGAAGCAGAAAATATATCGAAAGTCACGGGAATTTTTTTTTTGTTTTAGTTTTATAGACTCTTTATTGGACGACGAACGACCTTCAAGGAAATAAACTATCTGGTCAAAACCGTCAATAACGTCGTGAAAAGGGGTGTTGGCTTTACATTTGCGGAACTAGTGAAAGCAGAGTCATGCGGTAAAAAAATTGGGAAACATTTACGAATTATCTTGGTACTCTAATAACTGTTTGCAAACTAAGTATAAAATTGAAAAGAAACTTTTAAGATATATGTGTAAGGCGTCATAGACTGTGTGTGAAATGAAGAGATGATGTATGTTTAGAAACTCGTGACGTTTATGTTTTTGACGTTACTGTAATAAGCGTTCTCAGTGGTGACAAAACTATGTTGATTTTAAATTGATGTAACATTAGTTCCATTTGATAAAATAAAATGAATCTGCTCACATCAACAAAATAAATGTTTTTGCATATGATAATGTCTTGATCTTCAATTTTTTGAAAATGATATGACGAGGGGCGATATTTTCTACGTATTTTTTGAATGACCCTCGCATATTTCCATTATATGTCGACGACGGTAAAATTAAGCTTTAGGGAGTATTTTTGTCTTACATCGAGGATTTTTTTTTTTACATAATCTAGGAATGATCCATCAGTATGAAAACAGGAGATTTTTGTTCTTTTTTTAATTTTTGCTGCTGCATCATTTAAGGGAAATGGAAATAAAAATGTCAAAAACGTTATAGTGCTGCCAGAAAAAGATTGCTTGTTATTGAAAAGGTGAAAGTGACCGTCAGCAAAATGAAAACTTCATAGTTTCTGGCTAATCAATAAACCATTGCATAATATACTAAGTAAAATGAATTCAGCTATCTACCAATATCGATTTACTTAAAACAGTTAATTCATTCTCTGTACCTTTCCATGTTGTTTATCACTACGAGTGTCGGATATAAAAAAGCATTCGTTGTGATATTGGTAATGCAAGTTTCCAGAGCACTGACATCCTGAAATTTTTAATGAAAATCTTACATTTTCATTATTCATAAAAGCATAAAAAAGAAAGGACAATGCTAAGACCCCTTTTTGGCCCCTGATTTGGGGTGTCTTTTAGAATGATTCAACAATTTATCAATAAGAACCTGTTAGCATCCCTGCCACAAAATGAGTATTGGTTCTAAGTTATGGATTACACAGAGGTCACAGGAAGGTCAGTAAATATGTCAATTTCCGAATTTTCTCATCTTCATGCAATTTTTCATCGATTTTACAGCACATTTTATTTCAGAAAACATAGAGCACAAGCTTGCCTATCTACTAAATTTATATATATATCATACATTAGTATCAGATGTATCTTAAAAATCTTTAAAAATCTCAGATAGGCAAGCTTGTGTTCTATGTTTCCCGAAGTGAAAAGTATCTCAAATTTGACAAAATTTCACCAGAATTGAGGAAATTCGGGAAAGTGTCCTACTTCTGCACTCTCTTGTGGCCTCCGTGCAAGCTTTGAATCAAAATTAGCGTTGGTTTTAAAACAAGCCTCATTTTAAGTTCTTAACTACAAACTATCACAGTTTTAACTGTGTTCTGATTTTTACATCAAATAAGGGGCCAGGTTCGGCCGTTACCATACCTCGTCCTTTTAATATATGTACGTAAATCCGTTTCAGTAGCATTACTTTGGATTCTCTGCTCTCCTGCAGTTTCTTCTATATTCAACTTTGCTTACTTTTAAAACTTGAAACTATAGATTATTTTCAAGGATAAATTATGAATACATGGGTTTCATATAGAAAAATAATTTTCCACTTTATATAGGTCAAAATGCAGTAAGTGATCAAAAAATGTGTATAGATCGCCACCCTTTTAAGATATAAACATATACATGTATAAATAATGAGAAGTGTCCAGCTTATAAAAACATTCTTTTTTGGTTAAAAGCATTATTAACATTGCATAAATTCATATAATTGATTAATCGAAGAATTTTTTTTTCTTCTTTGCCATGTTTTAGTTATACCTATTGTAAAACATATATCCAGAAACATTAACTGCATTAGTATTGGACAGGGCACAGAGTTAAAGCAAAGAAAAAATTATTTGCAAAAACATATGACATCACATAAGGATGGAAATACCTTTAATGAAATAATATCAGAAAAAAAACCATCATTGTATGAGTGCATTATTTGATGTGGCCAACACATTCAATAAAATTGATACACATATAGGTTAGTTACAATCAGATTGAAATTAAAGTAAATGTAGACAACTGCTAAAATGTTTACTTGGATCTTGGGTTGTAGTAGTTGTGGTTGTCGTCGTTGTTGTTGTTGTCGTCGTTGTTGTCACTGCCTTGATGTGGTTGTTACATAGATGGCCATCACAACATCCACCTGCCAGAGCACGAGTTGACCTTCGACCGAAAGTATTGACAACAACAGAGGAAAGCTGATCGCACACCTGACATCATTGAAAAGATATGACGGAAATAAGTTGATGCAGATGAGGAAATGTAATTTTTGCTGTTTAATTGCTATAAGACTATATATATATATATATATATATATATATACATATACATATACACTCTCTCTCTCTCTCTCTCTCTCTCTCTCTCTCTCTCTCTCTCTCTCTCTCTCTCTCTCTCTCTATATATATATATATATATATAAGAGGGCTGTTCGGAAAGTTCATGGACTACCGTCAGAACTTTTTTACTTAACGTCATATTATACCTAAATTTGGAAGAAATGTTTCAACAGTGAATTCAAATGATGTGTATTAAATTTTTTTTAAAATATCGTGGATTATTTGAAAATGAATTAGACTTAAAAAATGCGAAAATCGGATCACGAAGCAGGTCATAATTTTGTAAATTACAATCATAACACTGAATAATGTCTGAAGTCATATCTTCTGTAAAATGACACAAAAACGGAAAAATTCTACACATTTAAATTAAGAATTGTTTCATCGTTTCTGATTCCAAATTATGACGTAATATTTTGCTGCGTTGAAAAGAAATCGGTTTTAGAAGATAGGCAGTCTTCATTGAAAAAGGCAAAAAAGATGACGTCGTAGAACGTCACGGAGCAGCAGCTAACCATAGAATTTTGTGTTGTACTCTGGAAAACTCCAGAAAAAAACTCTGAAAATGCCGGAGGAAGTAGGAAATGTATCAAAAGAAAGCCATGCATGTATATGTACATGGTACAAGGGTATTTGAATGATAGACTACTCTGCTTAGACGATGGTGATCTGTGAGAAAACGGATTATCTCTAAAAATCTTATTAAAAACATTGAAAAAATCGAAACATCATGCTAAGGGTTTGGCGCTTCACAGATGCTGATCTTGTGAAAGCACATTTATGCAGTGAAAAAAATATAACATTGACAAACAAAATGATGCTACTGGAACAATTGTTAGCAAAATAAATTTAAGGTGATAGAGAAAAGTTTTTAATGATTGCACTGGTATAGGGCAGTACTGTGTGAAATGTATAAGGATAGTTTTTTTGAGAATCTCATGTCGGTATGTTTTTGACGTTACATTGTTGTTGAGTTTGCTCCGTGTTACAAAACGTATTGATTTTGAAATTAAATAACATGGATTCTATTAAATTACATGGAATGAAACTTCACAATTAAACAAAATAAATATTTTTACATTTGAGAATGTGCTCATTTTTAATTTCTTGAAGATAGTATGACGAAGATCGGCATAGTCCACGAACTTTCCGAACAACCCTCGTATATATATATATATATATATATATATATATATATATATATATATATATATATATATATATATATATATATATAAGAAAAACCCAAGTAAGTCTTAGGTAAAATAAAGATCCTTACTGGTTTTGGTGCACATCCAAGTCTGAAGCCATGCTCTTGGTACGAATTGATCGTTTCTATGCCGTAACAATGCTGAAAATATATAGACAGTTAAGGATTTATCAAACGAAGAATTATACTTGTTTTTAAATAATAATTCTATGCATAATTTCATATAAACACACATTTATATGCATTGAGGTTTTGATTTTTAGGATACTTTACAGTGCATAGTTAAAACATAATTTGTATATTTATTGCTAGCATTGTGATTTAGCATCTTAAGCCCCGAAATTGTTCTATAATAAAACTTTATGCAAAGTATAATTTACATAAATACATTAATGATGATAATAACTTTTTGAGATATTAAAAAATGTAACCTGGAAAATAAGGACCACATAAGTGCATTACTAACCTCGCCATGATTACAGACTGTTGTGGATGCACACTGAACAGAGTCTGAGGCGTAGTCACAGTGATAACATTGCTCTTAAATAAAAGCAATTATAAATCAAAATGTTCAGCATCCAGAGAAAAAAAAAAAGACTGTATGGATCTAGTATGAAATTTATCTTTTTAATTTAAATTTGTTTTAGATTATACCATCCAACTGTAAACAAAAGGAAAAGAAAATTGAATAGTTATTACTACATTCTCCACATGTGAAAGGACACAGTGTTTTGATACAGCTGTTTTGGCAGATACTGGCATTGACTGACAGGAGGTCCTGACACGCCCCCGTGTGTACATCACTACAAGTAGTGTCTGTCTGTCGGTTGACTAATCACGTGGAACATATATAAGGAAAATGGCGATTCATTAGCAGGTTAGATTTTTCTATACAAAACATTGAAAAGAAGAAACTATGGAGAGTTTTATTTTTGGATAAACTGTCATCAATTTGAAAACAAATATTAACTTACCTTGGCCGTTTTCTGACCTTACAATAGGAGATGGATTAGCTGCTGCTGGAGTTCTATGGTGATTACACAAATCAGAGGAACAGCACACTGTGTTATCGTTAGCATTGTCACAAACCTGAATATAACAGTCATCATTAAATATATGAAAAGTAACTACTTCAAACATTGGGATTATCAAAAAAAATTATAGTTTAAATATTAATTTAAATAAATTGACCCTTGGTCAAAAACATTGGATGAGTCAAACATCCGATTTGGTGAATTGAACGAATAAACAAGAAACCCTTTTATTGTATGTTAAATCTATCAGACCAGAGAATGTAATGATTGTTTGCATAACCTTAATGATTAACTGTTGCCTGTGGATTCTTCGGAAGTTTTTTTTTCTATTCATACATAAAACTTTGAACACCTATTGTGGCCCCAATCGTAGTTCTAGGAGTCATATTAACAAAGTAAGACAACTTATACGGAATGCGCATGCGTGAGCTGAATGAGAGTCATGATTTTTTGAGCTCTGGATTTAAACTAATTTTTTTGTTATAAAACAAACTTTGGAACTTTGGAAAGATTTGGGAGATTAATCTAACGATATCAACTGTGTGTTATGGGGCCTAAAACACCTGAAAGTGGTTCCAGTGGAAATAAATCAAAGAAAGGCAAGAAAAGAAAAGAAGGCCCAGATGTGAGCAGTGAAGCGCAACAAAGAAAAGTAAGTGTTATGAGTACGTCTCAAGACAATGTAGACAATGTAGACACACAAAGAATCTCTCACCAGTTATTTTCAACCCCAGTGAACAGTCAGAGTATGCAAAGCAATCAAAATCATACATACCAAATTCCACAAATGTCGCAAATGCCCGTAATGAATTACAGCTTTTCACCCGTAGGACCTGTACCCCCTGTACATCAGGTACAACAATATCAGGGCGGAATGCAGCCATTTGATTACGGCAGTAAAATAGATAATCTAGCCAAAACACTTGACAAAGTTTTTCAGAAACTAGATAAACTTGACCAAATTGAATCACGAATCAGCAAATTTGAAATGACAATGAATACTGTCACAACAGATGTGTTCGAATTAAAAACAAAAATGTCAGAAATAGAAAAAAGCATTGCATTCACTAGTGACAAATTAGATGAGAATGAAAAAACATCTAAAGAGATAGTAGCAGAAATGAAGATTTCCAAAAAAAATGCATGGAAATATAGAAAAAGAGAATGTGGCACTTAAAGAACAAATGGCAACTATTACAAACAAACTGACCAACCTTAAAGAACAGCAAAATGAATTACAAGCAAGGTCCATGAGGGACAACTTAATATTCCTTGGTATTAATGAACCAAAAGAAGAAAGTGCAGAACAATGTAAACAAGCGTTAAAAGCATTTATGACTGATAAACTTGGAATAACAGATGAAATTCCGTTTCATCGAGTTCACCGCATGGGCCGGAAACAAGAGACAAAATCTCGGGCAGTTGTGGCAAAATTTGTAAACTTTAAGGACCGTGAAAAAGTCCGAAAAACTTCAATTACGGTTATCACTGCCCTTCGGGATCAAGGTGGTCCGGGCGATCAAAGCGACCCAGAATTCAGTGTATTCGAACAATTTCCCAAGGAGATAAACGAAAACCGTAAACTACTGTACCCGCACTACAAAGCAGCTAAACGACAGGGCAAGAGAGCGCAACTGATTATGGATAAACTTTATATTAACGGCGAACGATTTGTGCTGACAGATTACGAACAGGAAAACACCGCACCTCACAATCTAGATCCGCGCCTATCTCCAGCGGCCCGTGAATTCCAACCATTCAACAGACGCGGCTCAGTAAGTCAAAGGTAGGATAACCTAGGAGGAAATCTACCACGTGACAATTTAGTGGACACTTATCCAACCGACTCTCTCGATTCATTCACTGAACATGCTCGCAGACTTAAAATCTTAGGATTAAATGTTTGTGGTCTAAGTAGACGTTTAAATTACCCAGAATTTTCTACATTTATTTCTTCCTATGATATTCTGTGTTTTACTGAGACAAAAACGGATGATACTACACCCATTGATCATACTGATTTTTTCTTTGATGCTAAAAATAGACACGTATTTTCTAACAGACGTACTGGTGGTATTGTAATTGGATACAAAAAATCTATTAAAGATTTTGTAACTATTATTCACACAAATTGTAAGTTTGTTCACTGGTTAAGATTAAATTCTTTTTTTTAATTAATTCAGATGAAGATTTGATTTTAGGAATTGTTTACATACCCCCAGAAAGTTCTATATATAGTTCAAGGGAAGCTTTTGAAGAAATTGAACTTGAATTTCTGAATCTACAGAGTGAATTTAATCATATATGCCTAATTGGAGATTTTAATGCAAGAACGTCTGAAAAGGATGATTTTATTGAACCAAATGACATATCAAATCAAGAATATGAGTTAGATGATCCCAGTTTAGACTGTCTTTCAAATGTATTTGAATTACAAAAGATAAATATACATAGGAAACGAAAATCATTAGATAAAACGAAGAATAACTTTGGAAATAATTTATTAAATTTTTGTAAAAATAACAATATGTATTTGCTGAATGGAAGACTTGAAGAGGGTAAATTTACTACAACAAAATCAAGTGTGGTTGATTACTGTATAAGTAGTGTTGAATTTTGAAATATGTACTTAAATTTTCTATACTAGATTTTAGTAGGTTATACTCAGATATACATATGCCACTTTTTTGTGAAATAGGTATGAATTCATATACCTCAAATGACACTTATAACTTCCTAACCAGATGTGAAAAAATGTAAAATAAAAATAACTCTTCGCGTCAAAAGATAAAATCTTGGGATAATGATAAAACAGAAGAATTCTGTCAAAATATTAATTTGAATGATCTAGACAAAATAAAAAATATCTTAAGTAATATTGATATTCATAATCTGGATAAAAACCAGGTAAATGAAATATTTTTAAACACTGCAGATCTATTGCTTAACTCGGCGCGCAAAACTTTTGGAGTTTTCAATGCTCAACAAAATCACAGTAAACAACTACAGAAAAGAAAGGAGTGGTTTAACAAAGAATGTAAAATAGTACGGAAAAAATTTCGGAAATCAAAACGAATGTTTAGAAAATATGGTTTAAGTATCTTGAAAGAAGAAGTTCGTGTAAATGAACGAAAATATAAAAATACCATGGATAAAAGTATGAAAAAACATAGAAATTTAGTAATGAAAAAAAATTAGAAAACTGAGAAGTAAAGATCCAAAAAGTTATTGGAAAATAATAAATAAAAGGCCGAACAACAAAAAATGTGATATTGATATAGATGAATTTTACGAATACTTTAAAAATATTAACGAGGGTGATGTAAACAGTGAAGAATTTATATCAAATGAGTATATAGGTACACATATTCATGAAAGATTAGACTCTGTGATAACTGAAGATGAGATAAAACAAGCAATAGCAAGTATTAAAAATAACAAAAGTGCTGGTAGTGATGAAATTTTTAACGAATACATAAAATCTTCCACTAGTCTTATGTTACCTATATATGTTATGTTATTTAATATTGTTTTTAACTCAGCGGTTTTACCTGAAGCTTGGATTGTTGGTAATATTTTGCCTATTTATAAAAATAAGGGGGACGACAAAGCCCCTGAAAACTATAGACCTATTACTTTATTAAGCTGCATGAGTAAATTATTTACATCTATCTTAGCTAAGCGATTAAATAACTATGCTGAACAATATGAGATACTGAATGAAAATCAAGGGGGGTTTCAGATCAAATTATTCTACAATAGATAATATCTTCACTTTACAATCGTTAATCGAATTATCCTTTTTACTGAAAAAGAAAATGTATTGTGCATTTATAGATTTTAAGGCTGCTTTTGACAATGTATGGAGAATAGGACTATGGCAAAAACTTATTCAAAATGATATTACTGGAAAATGTTTTAATGTGATAGTGAAAATGTACTCTGAAAGTAAATCGAGAATAGCTGTAAATGATATGGTTACTGAATACTTTCCATGCAAAATAGGGGTAAGACAAGGGGAAAACCTATCGCCATTTTTATTTGCTTTATTCCTAAATGATGTAGAATCTTTTTTAATTACACATAATAATATTGGAGTCTCAACAATATCATATGAGATTGAACAAGAACTTAATTGGTATTTTGTTAAAGATGTTGGTTATTTTGTATGCAGACGATACAGTTTTACTCGCCGAATCACCTGAAGATTTACAGAATCAATTGCACAGTTTTTCATTGTATTGTGAAAAATGGAAACTTGAGGTTAATATTGAAAAAACAAAAATAATGATTTTTTCAAAGGGACGTACACCACAGAATGTTTTTTATTACAATAACAATGAAATTGAAATTGTCAAACGTTTTAAATATCTTGGAGTTATATTCTCATCAACTGGTTCATTAATTAAGACAAAACAATATGCTACTGAAAGAGCGACTAAAGCTATGTATGGTATTTTGAAAAAAAGTAATCAATTACACCTCTCTCTTGATGATCAATTGTATTTGTTTGATAAGATTGTTGTTCCAATTTTGTTATATGGCTGTGAAGTATGGGGTTATGGTAATGTTGAAATTATAGAAAGAGTACACCTAAAATTCTGTAAAATGCTTTTTCATTTAAAACCAAGTACTCCCAATTTTATGATATATGGTGAATTAGGGAGAGTACCTTTAACTGTACATATCAAAACAAGAATTATTGCATACTGGTCAAAAATTTTAAGTGGAAAACAATCAAAATATTGCAATTTAATGTACAAATTACTTCGTGCAAAATTTGACAATGGAAATGAATGTAAATGGTTTAAGAATTTGAAATCAATTTTAGACGATTGTGGATACAGTAATATATGGAATCAGAACCAATTATTCAATAGTACTTGGCTAATTAAAAGTTTGAAACAAAAATTACTAGATCAGTTTCAACAAAATTGGGAATCAAACTACAATAATTCTTCAAAAGGTGTGATATATAATCTATTTAAAAATTCAAAATTTGGATGCCAATTTTATGTAGATAGCGTCTTAAGTAATCATAAGAAACAAATTTTAGCTAGATTCAGAACATCAAATCATAAACTACCGATTGAAACGGGAAGATGGGAAGGTACTGAAAGAGATAATAGAATATGTCTTTTATGTGAAAATGATGTAGGTGACGAATTTCACTATATTTTATGCTGTAACAAGTTAAAAGATGAAAGAAAATTGTATATTCCCAAATATTATGTTACAAGACTAAATGTTATCAAGTTTAATGAATTGTTCTCTTCCAAAAATGTTAAGCTATTAAGTAAACTTTGTTCGTTTATAAAAATTGTAAACGAGAGAGTCAAACCTCCTGGTTAATAACATCTATATATATATATATATATATATATATATATATATATATATATATATATATATATATATATATATATATATATATATATATATATATATAGAAATATGATGCAATTATAAACACATTTTGTATATATGTTACATGTTTTGCTCACGCATGTATGTTGTTATAATTGTAATATGTTGCTTTGATCTCTATGTTGTTAAATAACAACCAAAGAGATACTAATAAACTGGTCAAACTATACCTAGTATTCAAATGATTATATGTTACTATGAGTAATTGAAGCCCTTTTATTCTTTGATATTTTGCATGATTTTTTTCCATGAAATATAGATATATTAAACTTTGATTCTCTGATGAGGCCCATCTTAATTCAGGGGGCTAATTTGAACTTGAATCTTCACTACATAAAAATGCTTATATATTAATATTACCTCTATCGTTACCGAAAAGATTTCTTAAGCAATGATTTGATAAAACATAGTTGTGGTATAGTGGCCTCAACCCAGGTCCAGGGGGTAATTCTATCAACATTTAATTTGTACACATCATAGAAGCTTTCTCATTTTTTTTTAATATTTTCTTGCCAAATGGTTCTTGAAAAGATATTTTACGTGATCTACTTTAGTTTTTCGTATTTTTTCACCAATATTTTCCCTTAAAAAGGGTGTTGCTTTCCTAGTGAAGAAAGTTGAAACCCATACAGTCTACGGATTCATGTGCCAAATCGAAAATGAGATAAGTTTACTGATGACAAACAATACAACATGTACACTTATTGATCAGAAAAGCTCCTTTTAAGCTTTGGCGTAGAGTAGGTAACATAAAATATTTACGCTCCCCAAAGCACATCCAAGACTGTAGACCTCTTTAAACGTGTCAGTAAATGTCTTGGCAGAGACGCATTCCTAAGATAGAAAAACCATATAACATGAAAAATAAGAAGATGTATTCATAAATAACAACTATATAGTAGTCCTCAAGTAATCAATTAAAATGTGTTATACATATGGTATATATCTCAATTAAAACAATTTTTCTACTTAATTAGAGCAAAACGTTAAAATTCAAACACATTAATTAAATTCTATTTATAAAAGTAGGGAAATACAAATGCATGTTTTCTTAGACGAATTTATAAAGTTAAAACTGGTTTTTAACCAGTTATTTTAATAAAATCATTATTGATAGGTATTGATGAAAGAGTTTCTTTTTATATGAATTAGCAGCCGCCAAAGTATAATTGACAGACTACTGACTGTGTTTTAAGCAACAACATATCAATTAATCAATCAATATGTGCAACAGCATCTTATAAGTATTACCGAAAAGGGGGATCCATTTGTTTAAATACGTACGTGGTCCCTGCTTGGACATTCAATCGTCGTATTGCAGTCCTCCGTCCTGTCCACTTCCCCACATGAATAGCATCTTTTCAACTCTAAAATAATATATTTTTAAGATATCTGTACATAATTTAACTTGTACCACTTAGAACTGGTGATACCTTCCTTCCATGTTACCATTTACAATGTAGTTATGTTAAAATAAATTTTATATATATATATATATATATATATATATATATATATATATATATATATATATATATATATATATATATATATATATATATATATATATATATATATATATATATATATATATATATATATATATATATATATATATATATATAAAGGGGTTGATATATGAAATACTGCATCAGCATATTGCAGGGATACAAGTACTAAGATAACAGACAACGAATCTTTGTAACAGATATTCATTTGCAAGAAAAATGTTATTTATATTTTTTAGTGTTCCTTTTCTTTTATATTTTCATGTTCAGTCAAATTCACAATTGAATTTTCAATTAATTTTATACATGTAATGTATTCAAAATGTTTTCAAATTAAATTTCCTAAGATTATACTCACCACACTTGTTACAGAACCTCGCACAGATGGACGTGTAACAGGTACCAAAGCTACACATGGACGGATTCTGTGAGGCAAATTTTTCACATGCAGATGTACTGATGTCGTCACATGATGACGTATAGTGGGCAAGAAAAAGGGCTACAAAGACCGCTGAAAAATTTCGTATTGGTAATCAGTGTTACACTTTATAAAAAGAAAAGGTAATTGCTTGGCAAAAGGTGATAAAATTTTAATTGAATCTATATAGGATCATTTCCTGTTACATAAATCAGCATAAGAACCTCAGCATTTCACATTTCAAGCATAAGAATAAGAAGTATTGACAAGCATTGCCTGCAAATATCTTCCATAACATTTTAAATAGCATAACCCAATTCTATCAATGCTGGTTTTTAGATAAAGCACACAGTTGTACACATACAGACTTGTCAAAATTTCTAAGTCCCCACTTTTATTATTTTAAAAATTTAAAAACCATCTGATTAATTTATATAGTGGCTTGCTATTTTGCCTGCAATTTACAATGCTTACCTGTTAAGACCAAAAAAATTGTAACTGAACATGAAGTTACTCTACCGTGACAGCTCTTGTTAAAAAGCATGAAGTGCGAGTTTTTTTCAATAATTATGTTTTTCGTGTGTATTTTTTAATTGTTTGTTTCCATGTGTTTTCTACCTTAAATTGTTTACGAAAAAAATGAATAAAATGTGGTGCATGTCCGCACAAGAATGTGCAAGAGAAGTTGACATGGTCCAATCTGTTTGTAGTTCACGAAAGGTTGGTTTCTTTCGCTGTATGTGTTTATTTTTCTTACAACCTTTAAAAATACGGTCCGAAAGACGAATATAGCTTACTTGAAATCCTTAAAATTATTGCAAGATTTTTAATCGAGACAAGAAAACCATCCGAGGGTTTATCTGGTCCCTTTTTGGAAGGAACCTAATACGTTCTATTTCCACCATGGAAGAGTTATAGTTCTTAGTGTGCTCTTTTGTGAAAAAGTCGGAAAATGTACAAATCTGGCGGGATTTCAGGGACAATCCTACATGTAACAACATGTAAACAGTATGTTGAATGTCGATGAAAAAACGCGTAACAAACATGCAAATGAGACACTGTATTGTTGTGGACTTAACATGCATAAGAAGTAGAAAAAACAACGTCAATTTTTTCACCACAGGAAGTTGTTGACAAGACTTAGTGTTGACGGTTCGTCTCTAAATACAATGTACATGCCTCGGAAACGTCGTAATGTTTATCAATGGATGATAAATTTTGGCCTTTCGCAATCTCACATATGCCTATTATTTCTTCTATTCTTTAACTGGAATGACAAATTCATTAAACATTCAAAATTGGATTGAGATCGACATGTTTTGTATTCTCCGCTACGTCATTGTTGTCCCAGTCAGACGGCCAAACGCGCCTCTGATTTGAAGAGTTCCAGTAATGGAAATAGAAAGTATTGCATGAGCAACTGCTCGCCACACATTAAAAATCCATGGAAGTCTGATCAGTGTCCAAATTGTACGGAACAAACTGGAGGACTGGGAATGCGTTTAGGGAGATGTTATGTAATGTAGGCTTAATATTGTCGGCAAGGCACCGTCAATTTCGGTCAGAACCCTTGTCATCCACATCTCAACTCTCGAGAGCATTTATGGAACACGATAGACCGGATACAGCTTTTCCAGCCGCAAAATCTAGCGGAACTAGAGGGAGGCCTAGTCAACACATAGAATAATCTTCAATAAAGAAATGTTGCGAATTTTGAATTCTGGGGTTCCTACACGTTTCTGCATTTTGTGATAAATCGCTTCAATAAAAATTGATTGAATGAAAAAAATAATTGTTTTGTTACTTTTTTATCCTACATATATACTTGTTAACTTATATTGTCAAAATAATTTTATATAAAAGCAGTGTAACGCAAAAACTTGCCCGGGGACTTAGAAATTTTGATTAGTATATTTACAGTCTATCAGAACTCCAAAGACTTTCGAGTATATGAGGTTTAAAACACATCAAAGAAAATTTTTCTAAAATTGATAAAGAAAACGAAATAAAAGGACACAATTTAGTAAAACACTTTTACTCCCAATTCACCGTAACAAAATATCTTTTCATTAATAAAATTGAAATATTTACTTTATCAATTAATATCTAAACTTACCTTGGGAGATCATGTTTAACCACGCAGCCATGACTCCTGGTCTTATCTTCTCTGACCCCTGTATTGCATTACATTGTGTTTCTGTATATTGCTGTATATTTTACTATTGGTGAGCTATAAAACTCCTGTATGTGAAAATGACATTGGTAAAAGAAATGTTCATTTCATTGATTTTATTTTTTAAATAGAGAAGTTAATTATATTTTTTCAGATCTCGAATTATAAACTAAAATCATTACTAGGTAACTTGTTTGTAACCCATATATCATGATGATCAGTAGTTTATAAACACCTCCTGATGCTAGTTAGATATACTGTAACAGGCTGGCCTCAATATATATATCTCCATTCCACTGTATATGTTTTACACAGGAACTCCATATGGTCTTCATAACTGTTTATTAAATCTCATCACAAACCTATAGACAAGTCAACAGTTGATGCACAAAACTTTGTTGGTCCCCTTATCAACACACATAACATTTTGTTAGGGTCTCATGAGTGGTGGAAGATAGCTAAGTATTAAGTTCTATGTATCTATAGCCAAAATGGGAATTAAAGGGGAATAACTCTTATAACAAAGAGTTCTGTATCAGAAGTAAATATATGCAGATTAACAATAATTTACATTATGAAAGATTGTCAGTAATTAACTTGTCAGGAATTATATTGTCAGGATATCTGGGTGTTAGAAATTCTGTTGTCAGGAATTCTGGGTGTCAGGAATTCTGTTGTCAGGAATTCTGGGTGTCAGGAATTTAGTTGTCATGAATTCATAAAATATTAGGATTCCAAGTTGCCAAGTTATAAAAACATTGTTTATATATTTTCTGACTTATAATTAGAACTTGTCTTTATAAAAATTATGATCTTGATTTGTAGAATTCACCATACCTAATAAGGTTTTATAATAAGCAAGTGCCCAGTGGAGCTATCTGGCAAAACTGAGGAGATCACTCCCTTATATAGCTTTAGAAACTAGAAACTAACCAATCAAAATGCTTCATTTTCCTGACAATTCCTGACAGGCATAAATTATTATGATTTTAACAGTTAGAAACAATTATATACTATCAAATTATCCTATTAACTATATACTTTCTATCTATTTACAATAAAATGAATGCATTACTTACTCAATAAATCATAAATTCAATAATTACGAACAATGCACTATCTCGTGTATTGGAACTACATGTAGTATAGTAGACATCAGTGATTAGGTAATATTATTGAGTAAAATGACAACAACAATAAAAAGAGGAATCAAATCTACAGGCATTGTATGAAGAGTTTAAGTTATTAAAACTATAATTTAACCAGTAACTACTTGAACTTGCTTTACATTAATGTAAATTCAAATTATTGCGCCAAGTGAACTATTTGATGATGTCATGCAATGGCGGCCTACATGCACTTACTGTAGGTGTCATGTCATATTAATTACTGTATGGATTAACTGATTACATCACTGAAACTCCTGTAAGTACATTCTTATATCAATAGATAATAGATTCTTGAAGCATAACATAAACAATTTAAGAACATCACCTTGTCAGGTAAATAGTACTTAAACACATAAACATATAACAGATAAAAACATGTGGGTCCAACATAATGGTATAATCAATAAACAATGATAAACAATGACATGATTTATGACCAATTCTGATACCGTAACAATGTACAAATAAAATCTACCCCCTTTAGCTAATTTAGTAATGACTATTACAATACATTTTACTTGACAAAACATCAAATTCTCTTTTAGGGACCTTTTTGGTGATATATCTAAATACATTAAGACATTAATTACTGTACTAGGAAAAAAATGAAGGGTTTTTGATTTGAAATCAAAAATCTACAAATGAGGCTCAGTTATTGCTTTGGTCCATAATAACTCCTTTGGGGATAATTCCACTTCAACATGGATCGTGTCTTAATGTTGTGTATTGAATCAATTTCATAAATTATATTTTCTTTTTTTTTGATTGTCATTAGGAATTGTGTCTGCACTAGAAGTATAAATTACAATGACTTCAAACGTTAACATGTCTTGCGGACACTCAATGTCTTATGTCCTGCAAACAAAGTAACTACTCAAAATCAAGGACCTGTGATTTTGAAATGTGAAAAGATAGATCCATCAAGCTGATGTATGTAAGATCATTTTTTACAATTTAAAATTAAGGCAACAATCTTAGTTGTAAAGTACAATATATATAATGTTAAACTGTGTTATAGTGGCACTTATTTTTGCCTTTACAAGAATTGCATAAAATGTATTGAGGATCTACAGCCGGTTTGATACCGTATTGCGGGAGTTTTAACAGGGAGCTAACGATAGCGTTTTCGTAATAGCCCGCTAAAATCTTAATCCCTGAATTTGCACCTTGCATATAACTAGAAAACGCAAGAATGATAACTTTGATCAGTTTCACAGTTCTTCATTTTCGCAATTATCGGTATTTGAGTCTTCATTAACTCTCATTAATATTACGATAGTATTTCATGACTTGGTGTACTTTGATGTAAAAATTATTGTTTTCGGTGTTTCTTAACATATCTAAGGTACCTGAAGCACTTTCCATTTAAGTGGTTTAGAATTATTTTCTTTATATTACTAATGTACCTGAAACACTCTCATTTTAAATAATATAAAATTAATCATGCTACAAGTTTGCAACATCAGGGAACTCGTATCCGCCAAATTTATTTGCGAATCTTTGGGCCAGCCAAATTGTACATCCGCCAAAGAAACCTTTTTACGTATGTTGATCTAAAAGTAATGTCACAACTCCTATAAAATCTTATATCATCATTAAATCTTTGCATATAACTACCTTACAAATTACTTACATACAAATACCTCAATTTATTTTGACTTTTGCCTTTAAATTTCATTCAGATATATGCAATAATTTATAAAATATTGAATAAACACAACGTTGGGTCTAATCTATCGCCGCACGGCAAGAATATGCCGAGTCGTTATGACCTTTCTCTTCGACACTCATTTAGTGGCGCAGTGGTTAGAGCGTCTGCTCTAGAGTCGCGGAGTAAGGAGTTGATCCTTACGTCGCGGGTTCGAATCCCACTGTGGGACGTGGAGACCGGTCCTTCGGATGAGACCGTATAAACCGAGGTCCCGTGTCGCAGTAGGTGCTGGCACGAAAAAGATCCCTCACTGCTCAATGGCCGTAAGTGCCGAGTATAGGTCAAAATTTGTAGCCCTCCACCGGCAAGTGGTGGCGTCTCCATATGAGTGAAAAATTCTCGAGAGGGACGTTAAACAACAAACAATCAATCAATAAATCGACACTCATTTAAATCTGATGATACATGTACGTTACATTTAGTACGCAAAAAGGAATGAATTGAGAAATAACATTTGGATAAAGTTAAAAAAACATAATACTACCACTTAAAAAACGATTTAGCGCTAAATAGCAGTAAGGATTATTAAAAAGAAGCACGTGAGAGGTGAAAAAGATATGCAGAAGAACTGAAAACATATGCCGAAAAGTAACGTCATGACGAGGTTGGTAACAATTTTGCCGTATATCCTTATATTTTAAAAAGCATTTTATATAATCGATTGAAATTTTAGGACAAAAATCAAAATAGAAAGGAACATTAATATGTTAAATTTTAATGATAACATCCGATTATTAAAGATTTTATAGCATATAGGACATTTCTTTCGGATCAACTCTCGTACACGGTATATTATTTGTGCAAATTACATAAATCTCAGGAGCTACATTTCTTAACGCTGCATCTATGTCATTCTTTAAAAAACATTGGCTTCTTTTACTGAAAGTTATTTAAGTTTAGAGTAAAGGCAATATGACAGATATTAACGATATCAAAATGTAAGGCACAAAGGATATCATTCCGAATACTAATTTTTGACTGTCATAACACCCCCCCTTTAATCAAATATCTAATGAGACCATTTCTAGATTGTTGATTTGTGTTTATAGAAAATGAAAATGAAAATCGAGGAAAATTAACGACTCCTAACATAACCTTAACAAATATAAAATGCGTTTTGTTGATTATGGATGCAGGGATATCGCTTGAAACATCTTCTCCTTTTTTTGCCACACGTAATGCTGATTTAAGGATTGACAACTGACTATTCAGTCTACAAGTCTAGCTGTTAAAACAGAGAACAATTAAAACACAATAATTTTCTCAGCATAATAGTCTTGTCTTGAGACTTTTCCAGTTGCAAGCAATTTACGGTAAATTTTAACTATTTATTAACATTCCAATAACAAAACGCACACAATTTTGTTTCAATTTCTTTATTTGCCAGGAACATGCGAACATTTTGTCTCTTAATGGTACAATTTTAAGATTATGCGCTTTGGAGAAGACAAAGCGCTGGATGGAGGGAGTTACAGTCAACTGGTGATATATTTGATCTGAAGAGATAATGAGAGACTGCGCACTCATGATCAGTGTGTTTCGGTACTGTCTGGTTTCTAAAGAGAGCATGGGAGATCCTGTCCTGTGTGGATTCCCAAATCCAATGCCGCCTTGAGTCGTAAATGGCGTCAATATATGTAGAAATGAAGGCAAAACCGTGATCTGAAGCATTGGAAGGAATATTGTACCAATTCTTGTACTATGTGTAATTAATTATCCTTTGTTATTAACAAGCGTCTTCGGAAACATTGTTTTAAACAACATATCTAAAATCATTTGAATATATGCATATATAATAAAGTATACAACGATTCTAATTAAAATGCATTGGATAAATATCTTTGGTTTACATTTGATAAATTACTAGTATTTTTCCTACGAATTTTCTTTAATAATTCATAAATGAGATGCATCATTTCCAGAACTTTCGGGATTATTTGAAACAGAGATTTCTGGGCCGTTTTTTGATATTGTGTAACTCATCCCGGACAATAAGACACCGGACAGATGATCCAATGCTTACAAAGCTACTCCGCCGACAAAAACCGCTGACCGTTCACGGTAGCTCAGTCGGTAGAGCGCTCGCTCCGTGATCGTGAGTTCATGAGTTCGAATCTCGGCCGCGACTGACCTAAGTCGATAAAAAAATGGGTAGCAGCTGTTCCTTCGCGGGTCCTTAAAATGAGACCTTAAAAACCGGGGCCCCGTGTCGCAGTAGGTGCTGGCACGATAAAGATCCCTCACTGCTCAATGGCCCTAAGTGCCGAGTAAAGGTCAAAATTTGAAGCCCTTCACCGGTATATGGTGACGTCTTTATATGAGTGAAAAATTCTCGAATGGGACGTAAAACAAAATACAATCATTCAATCAAAAACCGCTGTTTATACCACTTCCTCTGCACGATTAAAATTAACATCACTCTACATGCTCACTTTCATTGATGAACTAATGAAAATGACAACCGTTCGTTATCTCCAAATTTCATCTATCTAGAATTAATTATACTTAAGATTCAAAAAGCTTAAGAGAGGTTTTTTTTTAGACCTACATGTATCAAGGATAAATCGTCGGTGATTGGATTGGCGAATGTAATTGCGAACTTTTGTCTCAATGTCATTCATTTCATCTGAAGATTCAAATCGTGCCAAATTAGCACAGTGAGCCCGACAGAAAGACTGCAAATAATAAGAGAAATATCAGGTTACAATGTATTGATTTGCTAACCAGATGGTAAAATACATGCACTGCTTGTAGAGTGTTTAGCTTTAAATGGTACATATTGTTCTTTGTCAAAACAATAACGAAGATTTGTGTTTAAATTGGATAGAGTTTTGTTAAAATACCTTTGCTGCACTTCTTGTATATGTGGTATTTGAAACAAAGAAACAATCATTTTTGTAGATGAAAGCATTTTGTGGACATCGGCAGGCTACAAAATTATAAAGACTGCAGTGTTAGCTTAATAAGGTAAAAGAAAATGTTTATATCTAATGGCTGTCTTAATACATGTAATTAGGAGAATATTATAGTTTGTTCTGATCTCTCTTTCTCTTTATCTTTCTAAAACTTTTAATGATAGTGATACAAGCATGACTATTAATTTTCTATGATAGGTACGTATAGTTTTTTTTTCTTATATTCCAAAAGCTTATTCTTCTGTTGAAAAGGTGAAATACGACACTCGATACTCATGGAAAGTAGGCATGAGGTATGGAAGTATGAAAAATGCATAAAATAAGCTTTTTCCCATCATTCTTCAACCGACTAAACGAAGAATGAACCTAACAATTAAATATCAAGTAAAAAGCCTACTATTCATTGTTGTAGTTGCCATCGTCGTTGAAGGTGTTGGTGTGGTTCTTGCATTCAATGGTATAGTTTTTGTGGTTGTTAATGGCTTTATGTGAGTATTACACAAATTCTTACTGCAACAACCCCCGACTAAAGCTCTCTGTGATCTCCTTCCAAAGTTGTTCGTAGATATAGTTGCAATCGAGTCGCAAACCTTGAGGTAGAAATATAAAGTTTTTGATGCTAGTGGGCCGCTTAACTAAGTGTCCTACAACAAAACTAACTAAAACACTTAATCCTTATACCAAAGGGGTGATAATTGATTGTCAGACATTCCATTAGTTTGTTCTTTCAAAGCATAAGCATATAGACACAGAAAATTTACTGTTACATACTTTTTGATTCCAAAAAAGAAATATCTTCTCTCGCAACTATTTATTCACAGTAAGAATTTGATAAATTGCAGATATTACAGCTCAACTCCATTCAGAAAAAAATATGTATAATTGTTTTGTTTAAGGGTTATCTCCTTTCTAATGGCTGCCATATTTACCGCCTGTGGAGCACACCCGAGCCTAAATCCATGCTCTTTATAAGAGTTGACCGTCTCAAGTCCATAGCAAAACTATCAAATAAATAATTAGAAATGAAATACATATTGCCTTCTGTTTACTCTATTTCTTAATAAAATTCTTTTTTTTTTTTAAATCTTCCAAAGCAAATGTAGCTCAATCTACCTACACCACTATCAGCACTATAATTTTAATTCATACACATAAATGATTTACTCTTCCATTCTTTTCATGAGTTTATAAAGACCTGAACTTAAATTACTCTATAAGGGCTTTGTTTTATTTTTGGACTTACAAATCAAAAATACAACGTTGTCAGTTTGATATGTTTCCTACCTCATCATGTTTACACAGTATTGTCGTGTTGCACAATTCTGAGTCTGCAACGTATGCACAATTGTAACAAGTCTCTGTCAGAAAATGAAAAAAAAAAATCAACAATTTCAATGTTTTCACACCAATCCACTAGAGCAATAGAAATATATATTCCTTTTGAGACTTTATCAAGGAAAATGGCCATTCTCGTCCGTTGGAGCACGTATCATTAAGTCTTTGTCATTAAAAACAACAAATAAGCAGACGATAAGTTTAAGTTGAATATCAGTCTACATACGTACTGCACTTCCCGCAGGAAACTGGACACATGGACACGACACAATCCTTAGAACAGGAGGTGGGATCAGAACTTATAAGCTCCTGACAAATCTTTGGAGAATTTTCAACACAGAAAGGATCTACATGTTGGCGCTTCCCGACTAAAAGAACTGTAAGTAACAAAAGTTTTGTCCGAATTATAGACAAATACCTGTATATATTAATCAACCATCATCAGTTCTGTCCATAATCTATATAAGAAAAACTTACCCCCACCACCGTCTCCAGGAGTTGTTTCTGGCATTGTACTTGCTGTTTGTGTGAACTCTTCTGTTGTTAATGTTGTAGGATTCCTAGTTGTTTCTGTTGTCAGTGACGTCGGTGTCTGTGGTGATGACAGTGTTGGTGGTGGGGGAGATGGTGAGAGCGTTGTTGTCGATGTTGTCGTTGTTGTTGTTGTTGTCGTTGTTGTTGTTGTGGTTGTTGTCGTTGTTAATGGTATCGTCGTAGTAAGTCTGTGATTATTACACAAATCTGACGTACAACACGATGTTTCTAAGCCGGGACTGTCACATATCTAATTAGAATAAACTTCAGTATCAAGTAAACAAGATTCTAGTTACATGTACTAATTTGGCAAGTCTGTAGGCAGTAAAATACGGATGGATGTTGATGCATTCTAAAAAAAAATCCAATAGCGAAAAAAACGCTATCTCAAATGATAATTTATTATTACATCGTTACTATTACATCGATAACTTATACGGGTAACTACTTCAAACACCTCTTATAGACTCGCATTTGAAATAATCTATTAATTTTCTCATCTTTCTTTTGCATTTTGGGTCAATATTTTGTAATCAGGTCTCCTATAATCATTCCAATCATTTTAGTTCTGAATTTGTAATTTGCCAAAATTTAGTTTAAAAAAAAGTTTTAAGCCAAAAAGTTTACTCTTTCTTGGAATTTATATGACGTTTCTATCCAAAAGAAGGATCGATTTATACAATCTTTTGAAGTATCTATAGTTACTGTTATTTTATCTTATTTCTGGTTTAGCGTCGAATACTTCTCGAAGTAGAATTCATATGAACTTTATGAAGTAAAATCTGCCGTTACACAACTCTTCACAATCCCTTCTGCTTCTTGATTTGTGCTAAGAGAGAACAAGCTCCTTCAAAAGACTGAACTAACCTATATTGGTAAAACTTGCAATATGTAGTTTCTATGAACTACTAGGAATTATGTCTTGGTTCTAAAGATCTGTTTGAAAACAAATTAGCCATACATGTTCAGGTTTCTTTGTCCATTTTTATTATATTTATAATAAAATGATAAACTATTTAAATGTTTTATGTTTTTGTCTGTTTTTATAAAATATATACTTAATCCTATTTGCTGGGAATAAACTATTCCACTTATTGAAGAAATTTTTATACTTTTAAATGATAAATCTTACAGTTCCAAGTGCACAGCCTAATTTGTAGACCTCCTTAAAATCGCTGTTGAATGATTTAACGGAGATGCATTGCTGGAATATTGAGAAAGTAATGAGTTCATGCATGTGATATAATTCTATGGCAAGAGAAAACAAAATTTTTCTCATTAAAATTTGTTTCTGTACGCCTATAAACATCATTGACCAGAAGATAATATTATACTTACATGTTCGTTTGAAGGACATTCCGTGGTAGTGTTACAGTTGTTCAGTTTATCAACCTCGTGGCAGGAATAACATTTTAAGGCTGAAAATGAAAAAAAAATCCATATTAGTATAATTTGTTTCAGTAGGATGTAGAGTAAGACTTATTGCAACCTTAAGCATAAATTGGCTCTATTGATTTTTTTTTTAAAAAGTCATCATTATAAGAAAACCTCACCTTCTTAAATCGAATACCTTTATAAAATTCTTGTGTTTGTTATTCTGTACCATTGAAATATAAATCAGAGATCGAAGATGTGATGTTTAGAATTGATCGAATTACCATGTCTAGTATATATAGTATATGTGCATTTAAGAGCATATTTGAAATTTTTTAACACTGTTTTAGAACATAATTAGTGCGTAATACATTGCACATACATAACTTTGAAAGTACATTACAGATCGGAAAGAAGTATTGAACAGATTAACATAGCTAACTTTGATAACCTTTTCACATTTTATTAAGTACAAGGTGCTAAAAAGAAAAGTATCATACGGTATCATAAGGTTTCGTACATAAATTATCATAGGTTTTCATTTAAAGGTCATAAGTTTTCATCCAAAAGTGTCAGAAATTTTCGTACAAAAGTACTCAAACAGACATTATTTGCGCTAAAGTGATTACCACACTTTCCACACGTTCGCTGACAGACACTTGAGAGACAGGCATCATTACAGAGGTCCTCGTTCTGTGACATCATATCATGGCACGCCTTACTACTTACGTCATCGCACCCTCTGACCCGATAACACTTCAAGTAAAACAGGACGGCGAAAGCCAACACTAATAAACAACCAAAAACATAGAAAATATGTGAAATAAAAAAAGTAACGTCAACAATGGCACAATAGTTTACTCCTGTATTTTTAAAAATCTGATTTGAGCTAAAAGCTTCATCTGCATGATCAAACTTTTTATTCAACAATGTACACGTGCAATGAAAGGACATTCGCATTCACTTTCTCTCTTACAGACCCTAAGTTTCACCTTTTGTTCTCGCTTTAGGCGCCTACAACCTAAATTACATCATCATATACCATCCTTAACCAAAGTAATTGACAACATTTTTCTTCCCAAGGAATCCACAAAGTTATGTTTACTTTCTCGTTTTTCTTTGTTTTAAAACATTCACAAAAACATTTTTAGTTGTCATGTTGAGTTTAAACAACATATCATTTAAAACTTTCATGTAGATAATAAATATAGGTACATGTAATTGACTTCTGCTTTAAATGCACCATTTGATTGGTTAGAAAAATCAGTTAATATCATACACATGTATTTTCTATAGGAGCAGTCCACTTGATGTTACATTTCAAATTTGGATAATTTGAAGTCATTCTTTTTAAAAATGAAATTGTCTTATTCCTATTTCTACAGAAAATTAATAATAAAGAATATTCTATAGCTATGGTGGAATATTTCTGCCCCCCCCCCCCCCTTGTCAGATAATTTTGTCGACTTGCCAGATCTTTTTGCTAACTTGTCACTTATTCTCGTGTTTAAAAATTCAACATAAAAATGTGTCCATGCCCAGTTAAAGCAATCAGTTTTTCTGTCAAGTCGACGTAAGTATCTGACAAGTCAGTACAAAGATCTAAGTTCTACCTTATAAGGCTTTTCTTACCTGAGCTGAAAGCTCAAGTGAGCTTTTCTGATCACCTGTTGTCCGTCGTCCGTCCGTCCGTCCGTCTGTAAACATTTCACATTTTCAACTTTTTCTCAAGACCCACTGGGTCAATTTTAACCAAAATTTGTACAAAGCATCCTTTGGTAAAGGGGAGTTTAAATTGTTTAAATAAAGGGCCAGGCTCTCTTATAAGGGGATATAATCAAGAAAAGACAAAAATAGGGTGGGGTCATTAAAAAATCTTCTTAAGAACCACTGGGCCAGAAAAGCTGAAACTTATATGGAAACATTCTGGGAAAGTGTAGATTCTAAATTGTTCAAATCATGACCCCCGGGTAGGGTGGAACCACAATGTGGAATCAAAGTTTTACATTGAAACATATACTGTAGGTAAATTCTTTAAAAATCTTCCTCTTAAGAATCACTGGGCCAGAAAATGAAACTTACATGGAAACATTCTGGGGTAGTGTAGATTCTATTTTGTTCAAATCAAGACCCCCGGGAGTAAAGTGGGTTCACAATGGGAAATCAAAGTTTTACATTGAAACATATAGTTAATTCTTTAAAAATCTTCTTCTCAAGAACTACAGGGCCAAAAGCTGAAACTTATATATAAATATTCTGGGGTAGTGCAGATTCTGAATTGTTCAAATCTTGACCCCCGCGGGTAGAATGGGGCCACAATGGGGAATCAAAGTTTTACATTGAAATATATAGGAAAAATCTTTAACAATCTTCTTCTTAAGAACCACTGGGCCAGAAAAGCTGAAACTTATATAAAAACATTCTGGGGTAGTGTAGATTCTAAATTGTTCAAATCTTGACCCCCGCAGGTAGAATGGGGCCACAATGGGGAATCAAAGTTTTACATTGAAATATATAGGAAAAATCTTTAACAATCTTCTTCTTAAGAACCACTAGGCCAGAAAAGCTGAAAAACTTATATCGAAACATTCTAGGGTGGTGTAGATTCTAAATTGTTTAAATCATGATCCCAGGGGTAGGGTGGGGCCAAAAATCAAATTTTACATTGAAACATATAGGAAAATTCTTTAAAAATCTTCTTAAGAACCACTGTGCCAGAAAAACTGAAACTTATATAGAAGCATCTTGTGATAGTGTAGATTCTAAATTGTTCAAATCATGACCCCCGGGAGTAGGGTGGGGCCAAAATACGTATTTCAAGGGGGAAAATCTGGTGAAAAACAACAAGACTTAAGTTACTCCGGTGAGTGGTGTGGCTCATGGGCCTCTTGTTTATAAATTGCTTCGCGGTTTACAAAGCATAACCTGTCAAACCAAGGTTACACGTATAACAAGAGTAGCTATCAAATTGATTTCATTCTTTAAATAAATAAAGAATGAACATTCATTTTTTAAAGTTATCTTACTTCAATAACATATCCTTGTTATTCTTGTTATTTATTAAAACACCACCACCAACCTTTAAAATAGTTAGTCTCCATTCTCGAAACATGAAACGGACAAGGTTTATAGTAACCTATACTGACATTCTTATCAACTGGTTTATACGACTCACACTCCAGATAATACATGAACATGCATAACATGTTGTAAGGATCTTACTTATATAAATACTAAAGAAATTTTATGGTAACAAAATATCAAAAATACCCTATTAATTTCAGGAAAAAGAAACTCATGATAGACAAACCGAAAATTTAAAATTATATCAATATCTTCTTGTCAAATTCTGAGAAATATTTCACGTTAATGCTAAAATTAGAAATGAAGAGTCATTTCCAAACAGAAGTTATCTTTGGTGTTTGATTGCAATCGTTTGATATCAATTTCAATATACTTACTGGAGTCACAGCGGTCTATCTATCCTCTGTCTTCTGTCCATACAAGCAAATCCTCTAGCTCTAGTCCTGTGTCCTTCAGAATGTCGTAGAAAGTCTTTGTAAGATGTCCCGTGATGGAAAATATTGTCACATCCCCTTATTCCTATTCCATTGTTTGGAATTCGAAACACAAAGCTGGACGCAGCTTGTTTCGGATGTAGGCGCAATAACCTGGTAGCCTCACCATCCTTTAGCTTTACCTTATTATGGTAGTATCCCAAAAAGCTCTTCATTTAATGTTTTACTTCCTTCCAACCGATATTCAGTGCTCAACTCAGCATTCTTAGTATTCTAGCCATCTAGCTTCTGATCAGACTTGACTTCCAGATCTTGTCATTTTTGGCTTGTTCTCATGTCATTTCTTTTCTGGTTTTAAAGTCGGTCTCTGTTCTTCTCATTACTGAGTCACGGTTTTTAAAGTCCTAAAATAACTTTAAAATTTGCATTCTTTGGCAGGATTTTCACCTTAATTCTGTTTCTGACTGAAAGCTAAGATTGTAAGTTTTTTGGCATTCAAATAGAGGCCAGCATTGGCTAAGGATTCATGCTGTAGCAGTACTCTTCAGATATGAGAGAAAAAATCATCTGCTAAATCAAGATCAGTGATATATATGTGTGGCTAGAAATCTTCAGCTTTTCTCTTTTGGAACTGTACTCCTAGCTCCTCCTCTCTCCCATCTAGATGCAGTGGTGCATCCAGGAGCAAATGCAAGTGCTTTTATTGGATTTTTCGCGTCGCGTTTCCTATTGATGTTAATCATTAGCTTCCAACTCCTGCGATACATTTTTCTGCGCCTCTACCACTTGATGCAAATGTTAGTTACTCTTCTACCACTTATGTAGTGAAATTCTTTAAGCATTGGTCTTTTCAAGTTGATATACCAAATAATTTGATAAAAAGGCTACTCTTTTTTCACCTTTTGAAAACCTTTGTAGCTTCACAAGGGCAAAAAGTTCAAATTTTGTATACGTTTTGTATGTACCTGTCCTAATGTTTGATTGCTGACTTCACTGTTTCCGTAAACGTTTTATAATGAGAGCATGATTTTTACCCATTAAAATGCTAGCAATCTGTTTTCGAGTGAAATATAAATACTAATTGTGCACTGGAGTCTACGTGTAAATGTTCTTTCTTTGTCTTTGAATATAGCAGGGAGACCCAATACAAAAAAATATATGTAGGGGAGGAATCTGCGAAGTATGAAAATGATAGTATTTCAGACTCTGAAGCCATACAGAGTGTACAGAATAACATTTTTTTTATTTCTTGACTGCTAGGGAATGAAAATACACAAATTTGGATGCATAATCCTGGTCTCCCAAATCCACATGAATCACATCAGAAGCTCAAGCATCTTTTTTTAAATAACAACTAAAGAGTACTGGTGTGTACAATCGGAATATGTTTTAACAAAATAATATTGCAAATGACCAATGACAAGGCAAGTAAATTTACGAGTTACATTTTTATTGATAAAGCAGCTATCAACGAGGTCAAAAAGCCTGGACTTTAATTTATCGTGGGGAATGGTTGTATAAAGTGTTAAAAAGTCGTACGTGTTGATGTTATTGAATATAGTAAAATTCTGTGATGTCAAATTTTCTACAAGTACCTTGGAATTTTTAAGTATTCACAACTGATTTACACAACTTCTCGAAAATGTTGTTTTGCAGTACTCCTGAAGTTTCTCCTTCTCTGCTGTTAATATTTAAGTGAGGAGTAAAGAAAGAGGCTTGGTAGAACATTTACTGGAACCCGCTATGTATCTTTGTATGTCAGGACTTTTATGATGTTTTTATGAAGTTTAGGAATCCAATATAGATATGGTATTTCAAATTCATTTTGAATGTTAGGAATTTTGAAAATATTCAAAATTGACATGATTCTGAAGAATTTCCTCCCTAGAAAGGGAGCTTTGTGTATAATTTGGGTTACCAACTTGTAGAATTAAATCCCAGTTCCTCTAAAATATAATTTAAATAATGAGTCTTACAAACAAAGACAATATTGTCACCTGCTTTGTCAGCTGGGACCAGTACATACTGATTTATCTAATTCTTTTTTCACTTCTGAATTATTGAACACAGAAGAATACATGGTTTTCATATTGCCCCTCAATCACTTAATTTTAACATCCATCTGATACATTTAAACCATTCTGACAAAGTGTCAATGTCTTCCTTTTCATGCTTGGCCCATCGCATGGCGTGATCTTCCACAGAATTCATAGTATTTATGAAATGATGACGCCAGTTGAAAGATGGGGGTTCCCTAAATTTTGGTCCTTTTAAAATAAGTGATTTAAGGTCCTCATTATTAACTATAATCACGTCACCAGTAAACATTTTATTATAAATTGAGAAACATACACACAGCAGTAAAAGGTTTAGATACAACTTATTTTAATCTTTATTTGCGTAAACGAAACGTTCTTCATAAAAAAGTATACAAATGTCATGGGAAATTAAAGTTTGGCGAGTGAATGAGATAAATCTTCATGAGTAGATTTCTTCTCCTACATATTCATATGTAAAGCTTTGATCGTCTTTTCTAGGCATACCCTACCCCTAGGTGCCATGTTTTGAATTAAACTGAATATAAACTTTTTGAGGATGCTTCTATATTCAAACAACTAATCATGCTTTTGCTGTTCTTGAAGATGTCTGCCACCCTATCCTGGGGGGGGGGGGGGTGTCATGATTTGAACAAACTTGAATCTACACTACCTGAGGATGCTTCCATATCAATATGACTAATCATGGCTTTGTTTTTCCTGAAAAGATTTTAAAAGATTTTTCCTATATATTCCTATGTAAAAATTTGATCCCCCATTGTGGCCCCACCCTATACCCGGGGGTTATGATTTGAACAAACTTGAATCTACATGCACACTATCTGAGGATGATTCCATATCAATATGACTAATTGTGGCTTTGTTGTTTTTGAGATGAAGATTTTTAAAGAATTTTCCTATATATTCCTATGTAAAACTTTGATCCCCTGTTGTGGCCCCACCCTATCCCCGGGGGTCATGATTTGAACAAATTTGAATCTACACTAGGTAATGGAGGTTTCACATAAGTTTCAACTTTTCTGACCCAATGGTTCTTGAGAAGAAGATTTTTAAAAGATGACTCCAAATTTTCACCAATTCTTAATAATCTCCCCTTGGAAGAGGGCGTGGCCCTTCATTTGAACAAACTTGAACCCCCTTCACGCAAGGATGCTTTGTGGCAAGTTTGGTTAAAATTGGCCCAGTGGTTCTGGAGAAGAAGTCGAAAATGTGAAAAGTTTACAGACAGACGGACTACAGAAAAAATGTCATCAGAAAAGCTCATTTGAGCTTTCAGCTCAGGTTAGCTAAAAATGGATGCCTTGATTGATAAATATTTTTGGACCTATATTGGTTGTAGATGATGCAAATAATAATAACTTTCTAAATGTTAAGAAATTGTAAAATTTCTTTGATGTTCAAATTTCTACCTCTCTGTAGCCTCCTTATTAATCTATACAACTTTTTGTCTTTTCTAGGCATACCCTACCCCTAGGTGCCATGTTTTGAATTAAACTGAATATAAACTTTTTGAGGATGCTTCTATATTCAAACAACTAATCATGCTTTTGCTGTTCTTGAAGATGTCTGCCACCCTACCCTGGGGGGGGGGGGGGGGTGTCATGATTTGAACAAACTTGAATCTACACTACCTGAGGATGCTTCCATATCAATATGACTAATCATGGCTTTGTTTTTCCTGAAAAGATTTTAAAAGATTTTTCCTATATATTCCTATGTAAAAATTTGATCCCCCATTGTGGCCCCACCCTATACCCGGGGGTTATGATTTGAACAAACTTGAATCTACATGCACACTATCTGAGGATGATTCCATATCAATATGACTAATTGTGGCTTTGTTGTTTTTGAGATGAAGATTTTTAAAGAATTTTCCTATATATTCTTATGTAAAACTTTGATCCCCTGTTGTGGCCCCACCCTATCCCCGGGGGTCATGATTTGAACAAATTTGAATCTACACTAGGTAATGGAGGTTTCACATAAGTTTCAACTTTTCTGACCCAATGGTTCTTGAGAAGAAGATTTTTAAAAGATGACTCCAAATTTTCACCAATTCTTAATAATCTCCCCTTGGAAGAGGGCGTGGCCCTTCATTTGAACAAACTTGAACCCCCTTCACGCAAGGATGCTTTGTGGCAAGTTTGGTTAAAATTGGCCCAGTGGTTCTGGAGAAGAAGTCGAAAATGTGAAAAGTTTACAGACAGACGGACTACAGAAAAAATGTCATCAGAAAAGCTCATTTGAGCTTTCAGCTCAGGTTAGCTAAAAATGGATGCCTTGATTGATAAATATTTTTGGACCTATATTGGTTGTAGATGATGCAAATAATAATAACTTTCTAAATGTTAAGAAATTGTAAAATTTCTTTGATGTTCAAATTTCTACCTCTCTGTAGCCTCCTTATTAATCTATACAACTTTTTGTCACTTTAAATCCCATTGAACAATGCGATTAAACTAATTCATTTTATTTATATGAAAATCATTTAGTTATTTTCAAGATTTTTGATAAAAGTTTGTATGTATCTTCTGTCCTTAATCCTTCATTCCACAAACAAAATAAAACGATTAAAATTTGTTAATATATACTGAAATGATGCAAACTTTTAATCACTTTGATCTCACAAATTTAAATAATTATAATATATTCAGGGTATTACTTTTTGCACATATCAGTTTAGTTGTATTCTAGAAAGTTTGCGTTTATATGAAACTTACATTGTATATACATTTTTAGAGCAGAAAATTATAACTTAAAATAATAATAAATGCTATTTTAGCTTGCGCTATTTAATGTACATTGTGAGCGTTTTCAGAGCTTATACATGTGAAAACTGTCGAACGAGTCGCAAGCAAGTGAATAATTTCAAAAGGATAAGATCAACATACAAAATATGAATTACTCTATTTTTTTATAAACAAAAAAATAAGCTATATACATGTATTTTTTATCTCATGAACACATATTGAAAACTATATTACAGACAAGCACATAAATATCAAATAACTTCGAAATGCATATTTATATGAAAACTGTCAAACGGGTCGCAAGCAATTTTTAAAAAAGATAGTTTTACGTAATAATGTCAAACACTTGTCCAGAAGCCGCGGATCCAATCCAACGTCCGAAAAAATTTCCCAAAGCAGATCCTATAGCGAATCCCAAAACTGGTATTGGACAAAGTGCCTGTCCGATTACTCCACCAGCAACGGTGCCAGCGGTTGCGGACACAGCACCAGAAACACTTTTGGTCACCTCTCGACGAAAGTTCCTCTTGGAAAGAAAACCATTTTTTCTTTGTTTGCGTAATTTACGAATTTCATACGCGGCCATACCTCCCTCTATAAGTCCTGTGATGATAAAAGTTGCGCCAGCAGTTTTTCTCAGCGCCGTTTTGCTGGCTGTCTTGGCAACGTCGACACATTCTTTTGACGCAAGAAGCTGCGATTTAGTATACTGGGAATTTTTGCAAGCTGCTTTGCAAAGATTAGTGGCACATCTGCCAGCTGAATTTGCTGTATTTGATACAGGACTGGGTATTAATTCTGTAGCAACGTTCAGAACTTCATTCACCGCAATTTTGACAAATGCGGAAGCCGGTTTTACAGCCAAGAGGCAAGAGCCTAACTTCACAAAATTTCTTTTCCCACGACATACTACATTGTCAAAAGAATCAACAAAAATCATTTTCCAAACGCCAGCATTCATAATCTGTTCTGAATAGGGCAGCCCAGTCATGATGTAGTTGACGAGATGCTCACAGTTGTTACTGGCCAGTGTGTAGGCTTTTTCTCCCAGTCTTTTCCAACATCGCGCCTTCGCTTGTTCCTTTTGATATTCAGTTTTTGGATAATTTGGAGCTTCAATTACGTACAAATTTTCCTCTGCTATAGCCTCCTCAATTTCTTCTTCAGAGATATCATTTTTTGCAACCTGTCCGGGCCCAGTAAAGAAATTCTTAAAACAGACGTAATACTCAAACACTTTGTTCTTTGCATCAAACCATCCGGCTACTATATAATGATGAAAATATCCAAGGGACCTTTTGACAGCAAAGTGTGCTACATACTTGGTAATTTTGTAAAACTCTTCGATTGATTGGACAAGTCGGCCAAATTTTGGAATCTAGAGAACGAAATCAGTGGTAACATCATTTATGTATTTTGAAAAATAAAAGTAGGCATAAAAATACAAGAAGTCAGCTAACCTTTAGAGATCATTTTTGTGTCACAAGAAATTGCTCAAGGTTTTGGAGGGGTTTTTCCTTTTTTTGTATCCATCTCTTTACAAGCTTGAAAGCTCTCAACTTTAATTGGTTCAAATGGCAAAACGTAAACAAATTTATATTTCAACGTTTTAGTGATATTTTAAGGCAACTTGAAGTCCTTTAGAATGGTTTTTTTTTAAATTTCTTTACATTAAGATATCAATTTTACCTTACTTGATTTGAAATATCTTGCATCTTCACTAAATGAAAATATATTCAGTGCAGCACTGCAGTTATTTTTAACAAGATAAAAATATATTCAGTGCAGCTCTGCAGTTATTTTTAACAAGATAAAAATATATTCGGTGCAGCTCTGTAGTTATTTTTAACAAGATAAAAAATATATTCATTGCAGCTCTGTAGTACGAAAGCCCGATAGGCTCATTTTTGACAAGACAAAAATGAATATTTAACTCGTTATAACGAGATACTAACTCGTTATAACGAGATACTAACTCGTTTTAACGAGATAACTATCTCGTTATAACGAGTTAATTTTTTTTTTATCTTGTCAAAAATGAGATTATCCGGCTTTCGTACTGTAGTTATTTTTAACAAGATGAAAATATATTCAGTGCAGCTCTGTAGTTATTTTTAACAAGATAAAAAATTTATTCATGCAGCTCTGTAGTTATTTTTAACAAGATGAAAATATATTCAATGCAGCTTTGTAGTTATTTTTAGATAGAAATATATTCAGTGCAGCTCTGTAGTTATTTTTAACAAGATAAATGTCTGTGTATAATTTTAGACTTCCAATCGAGCATATATATTCCTTGCTAAACTAGAATAATTATGTACATCAGTTAAAAAAACGTACATAAATTTAAGCCTGCATGATGTGACGTACGTACTTTCACAATTTTCAACTTATATCTTTAATGATTTCATTATTTACACTTACATCAGCACTTGATGTAGAATTTGATTCCACCATTCTGGTAAACAGTTTCAAACAGTAAACCTTACGGAACTGATATTCCTGGAATCAGTGCTGAAATGAAATGCAAACAGTTCACCGGCAAGATGTTAAAATTTTATGCAGTGCATTCTTGGTAAACTTGTTTGTTGATGTATTTAAATATTTAATTGATTCTTCAAATCGCAAATAAAAATAGATATCTTTACGTACCTCACAGTCTGAGCTACCTTCGATAATCTAAACTCTTCATAATAAATGTAAATGTCCAGATAATTACCTTTGGATTTTCAGAAAATGTGCTAAAAATAAAACCAAGACAGTGCTTAAAAATAAACACAGAAAAATCCAGTTTTATTTTTAACATGAAGCAATAAATGACCAATGTTTTTAGTTGATGACAAAGGCTAATTAGGGATGTCAAAGAATATCAAATATTCATTCGATGCGTTGATCTTAAATTTGTCTTGTTTTATTTTTTTAATTTTTTTCCCCCGGTTTCCGGTTCCAGACCTATCAGTCACTTAAAAGAGAGATAACTCTGACAAATTTAAGTGGAAATTCAGAGTTGATTGATATGGTAATCACCTTTTGTTGAATTTGATGTTTTTTGAAGAAAAAAGTCGTTACCATTAAAATCAAACTTTTGGCGATATTTGAAAAAGAAATAGTACATGTATGTACACCCATATTGTATATCGAGAGTGGTTTTCCGATTTCGCTGTACGGTACATGTACCTTGGTAATATCCTCTTAAGTAAATACGTGTACTCATGTGCAAACTTTCTCTGTATGCACAGTAAATTTACTATACGTGTAAAGCAAATACTTTATGAAATTTACAATTTTTTTCACCATATTTTACCTCCTATATTCTGGAGAAAAGGAATTCTCTCATTTGTACATATAAAACCATTTGGATTACAGTTTGACGGTTTTGCGAGTAAAATTTTAAAGAAATCCACAATCATGTATCTAGTTCGAGATGGTGTTATAATTAAATTATATAATGAACAAGTTGGAGAACATCAGAAGAAAGAGACTGATCGTTTTTATGCTGTGAAAAGCTACGCAACGTAGATTTAGAGTGAACTCAATAATAGCATAGCTAGCGGTAATATGTTATATGGAGTATTTTGAGGCAAATTAGAGTATAAGCTTGCGGTTTTTAGGGAGTGATCTATAAATTTTTACGGGTGTAAAATAAAGCTAGGATATTTATTATTCAGATGACTTTCCGCCAAGAAAAGAAATTCTCTTTTACCTAGTAAGGGATAAAAAAATAAAAAAAAAATAGTAATCTGTTATAACAAATTAGTAATCTGTTATAACAAATTAGTAATCTGTTTTAACAAATTGATAATTTGTTATAGCAACTTGATAATTTGTTATAACAAATTGATAATTTGTAATAACAAATTAATAATTTGTACTTTGGGTGGTGCTCTTAATTCATTTCCATCAAGGATTAATTTTGCGAATATGCTCATTTTACTAATAAATTGTCAGCACACTCTTTGTCGTCTAGCCGAGGAGTCTTCTCTACTCTGAAAAAATTGGAACCTACAGTACCCCCCCCCCCCCTCCGAAATAGGATTTTGGAGTTTGGACAATTTATTTTTTTATTTATATTTTTTCAGTTGAGATGATTTTTTTTTTTATCTCTGACTGCCTCCCATCCCCAGGAATTGTGTTTTTTTTTTTATACAAGACTTTCCATTGGATGTCAAGAATTTTGACCTTGACCTTGAAGTTTGATCCATTTAAAAAAGACTTTAAAGCCATAACTTTTGAATGGTTGGTGTTTAAGCTTTCATACATTATTTTGTATATTTATTGCTATCTCTTGACATTGACCTTGACCTTGGCGTTAACTTGTATTTGAGAAATTTTAACCTTCACCATAAGCTGCCATATCCTGCGGGGGCATCAGTGTCTCACAAACACATCTTGTTAGTGGAAAGATTAAATATATTCATGTATGTTGGTGATGGGGAGTATTCATCGAACGGATGGAGACTAGGGGTTCCAGCCTGTATTTTTTTTTATGCAAGATTTATAAAAATGGATGTCTATTGAATACAAATTCTTATAAATTCTGTTTTCATGGCAACGTACAAAATAATTTTGTTGTCAAAGCTTTTAATCATGCGTATATAGTACGTTTTAAAACAGTTACCGGTACATTCACTTTTCTGCTGGAAATATTTATAATGAGTCTCTAAACATATTCAAAAATGGCATTTTCAAACTAAAGAGCACATTGTCATGAAGCAAACAATGTTTTGCCTGGTTTTACTTACTGGATTAAAATACTTGTACATGTACCATAGAAAGTTTGAAGAAAATCTTGATTATATGTGCCATCTTATGTAAGAGCTAGTTCAATTAATTACAGATCTGGAGAATTATAGCTCTTAATTGCTGATTCTAATATATTCTTTTTTAATTAATTAATAAGGATCAATCCATATTGCTTTGTTTATTTCGCATTGTAAGGTTGTGGATCGAGAAATGGCAATAAATATGACGTATAGGTCTGTAGAAAACTCCAGGGTCCCGGTTTAACGATAGAACAGCTGTTCCGCTGAATAATCAAACTATTGTCCCTTAATCAACTCAATAAAGCCACATAAGAGTACGCTCTAAACATTATCTCACAATTCATTATTCTCCTGCTAAAATAATTTCTTCACCTGCTTATTTTGTTGAAACAATTTGCTATAAAATAAAAATTATTTAAATTGAAAATTCCATTTTCATTTCAGCTACAAGTTGCGCGAGTTTCATTTTTTTTATGCATTCTAACTGAAATGTGCACTGTGTGTTGTGTGTTTAAGTAATATTTTGAATGTTTTTTTTTTAATCAGCAATTATATTTTTTCCTGAGGATTTTGCTTTGTGATTTTTCAACGGATAATTTGATCGATTTTAATGTACACTGTGGGATGTACGTTGCTTTCAGCTGGGATATTGATGGATCTTCCAAAATTTACTTTTTCAGATTTAAACGAAACTTAAAATTCATTCCAATTCTCTTCGATTTTGGGAGCTCCAAGCACAAATTAAAAATGAAAGTATTTCTCAAAATTTTTTAAATCATTTGTTTTATATCAATCCTCTCTCTCTCTCTCTCTCTCTCTCTCTCTCTCTCTCTCTCTCTCTCTCTCTCAGTGAGTATCTTTTTCTTTAATTTACTTTTTTTAAAAAAATATTTTATTTCTTAAAAGGTAAGATAGAAAGATTTGAATGATATTCTTCATTCTTAAATATTTTAAGATTATAATTTCAACAAAACATGTAACTATCTCCTATATCTTCAGACATGTTTAATACTGGAAATTCTTCACGTATGAAGCTTTAACAAATTTTTGAGACATTTCTATATTATTTTCATAAAACATTAAAAGCAAATCCGATTGAATATTAATGTCCATACTTGCAATAAAAAGTTTTAAAAATTTACAAGTAACTTTTAATTTACAAAATGGATTTAAATGTGACTCATTGCTGAATCATACGCTAGTCATGAGAATGTTTTTCTTAACCAATTCCTTGACAAAATGTCTTGTTGGTAGGAAAAAGTGTTCAGCTAAAGAATTAAATGCGTAATTGCATACCATACATTTGTAATATTGGTTACTTTTCTTTACCATTGCACATGCAGGTTGCTACCGATTTGGTTGTATATCCGTTTTTGTTTTGTTTTTGTTTGTTTGTTTGTTTTTCCTAAATATGAAATGATGTAAATGAGTTATACTATGTTTTATTTATTGATTCTTTGTTTACATACAGTATTTCTTTCTTCTTTTTTTTTAGTTGCTAATAATCTCTTTTGGAGACCACTTATAAGGCGACTTTTTGACACAATCATAAAATACTTAACAAATAAGTTCGAGTCAATATTTTTCAACCCTAAACAACTTTCAACAGAGTTCTTTTCCGAGTCCGACTTGGCACCATTCAATCTGTCGCGTGTCGCTGTTTGTTTATGCGTCGGATTTCTCGCTAAATGACACTTAACAACCATTCTCATTTGTTTAGTTTTTACGCAATATATACAAATGAAACAATTTAAATATTTTTATTAGGAGAGAATAGACCACAATTAACTTTTCTCCTGGCCGCTTTAACTTGTCTTAATTTATCACCTCATATCTACATATGCTGAAATAACAAGTTTAAAACCTAGCGATTACAGTTATTTTGCCTTCTAAATGTGAAGTTAATGTATACTTAAGGAAATGAACTTTTCAGTTATGTTCATCTACTTAAAGTGAGAATTTTAAGTCTTTGAAAGTAAAATATATTTAATACCAAAATACAGTAAAATAAAAAAAAATGTCTTTGTTAAAACCGTGTTAAAATAGACAGAAATTTTGTCAAAGGAGAATTTGAACAAATAAAATCCTCAAAATTTCAAAAAGATGTATACAAGTTAGTATGGTTTATTGAGTGCATATAAATAAAAACAAATTTATCCGGAAGTGTCAACTTTTTATTTTTGTAAGTGAAATTTATCTCTATGATTACACGAAAATGCTAATCATATTTTCCCTTTTAAACTGATTACTGAGTTTAAAAATTCCCCACTTTCTTTGAAAATTCTTATAAAGCCGAGGTGAAAACATTTAGAAAATATTTTGTCATGTGAATGCCCTAGTCAGTTATTAGAATCCTCTTTGTCAGTCAAAAAAAATTTAAATGTCGCCGTTTGAAGAGAGAGAGAGAGAGAGAGAGAGAGAGAGTCTAAGAATATATATTCCCACATTTTTTTAAATAAAATTTGTGTTCCTAACGTTAGAAATCTTAAATAGGTTTCATTTGAAATTTGTCATTTTTTTTTTTTTTTTTTTTTTTTTTTTTTTAGAAAAGGGCTTATTAAAAAAATTAATTTTGCTTCATTATGGAATCCCGTTCTAGCTAGTACTTATGTAGTTTAATTATTTTTATGTGAAAATTTATAATAAATACGTATATATTCCTTAAATACTTTCAGTTTTTAAATTTAATTTATGAATTTCTTTTTTTATTTCTATTTTATTCCATTTTGTTTTTATATGTATTTTTTTTTTTTTTTTTTTTTTTTTTTTTTTGAAAAAGGAGGGGGTTGGGGGTTGGGTTACAATATCATAAATAAATTTACCTCTTTTCTAACATGTGCTATCATCTATAATACATGTAGAACAATAAAAAGTAAGCAAAATAACATTGACATAAAGCTCTGGATTTAGTTCTTCTTTATTTATTAAGATATAAATATATATTAGCTATTAGCTTTTAGTTGCAAATAATTATAAGTAACACTGCTCGTTCATCATTGCATATATGTTGAATATATAACTGGCTGTCGTATATGGAATTCGAATTCCATTTGGAAATTATGAAATCTATTGTCAAAATAATCAGTTTTGATGTCCAGAAAAATTAGTTCAAGAATAAAGGACATGATTTTTATTTGAACCACCTGCAAAAAATGATTGTTGTTGGAACATGAATGCCGAGCCCGACAAACCAAGAGTCATCCAGATTCGATGAGTGTTGTCTTTTAATACAGGTGTAACCTAAAGCTAATTCATTATCAATTTAAGAACTGCCAAGCGATATCGATATTCACTCTGTAATTGGTTGAATCGATATTTCAAACACGGATAATTCTGAAGTACTGTACACATTTTTTTTTTGTATTTCTTTTGTGTTTTCGTTGGAAATAGAACAAAAATAAAAATCATAATTTCAAGAAAACATTTTTCAGAGGAAAAACATACACTTAAAAAAATTAATTATAGTACAAATTTTCACTTTAGACATGGATTCCATACACTTATCGATCGACATTCACACCAATTAGGTGCGCTAAGCAGGTCACGTGTTCAAGTGTTAGGAAGATCAACATCAATTCACCAAAGTAGCCCCGTCGTGAGCGATTCCGTGACTAATTCGCAACAAGTCACTAGATCATTTGAAGTATTATAGTTTTGAGATCTTCAAATCCTAGAAATGTTCGAAATGTTTTCGTAATATAAAGTTAGACATTTGAACTGTAAATCATACTCCATGATTGACCGTACTTTGAGGAATATGAACATTTTGGCCCAAAAACACAATAAAAATAGGATTCTGTTAAAAATTTGATGTAGTAAGTATTGGTAATGAAGACTTTAACGCACCCCATTCCTTCCCAAAAAATAGATTGACAAAGACCACGAAGACTTGTCACTAGAGCATACAAATTGACCCTTTTCGCCTTACAATATATTGGTTTATCAACCTCTCTCCCACACCTAAAAACACATATAAACATGCATAACATATGTATACTTGTATTTTCTCCACCTTGTACATGTATCTTAAGATATCACGATCATCAAATTAAATATCAAATCTGTTCAAACTTGAATAAAAGCAACAGACACAAACACACAAAAACAAAAGAAGAATTCGGCTCTGTTTGATCTCAAGACCTGAAAAAATAGTTCCGGATTCAAATGCTTATTCCAATGATAATTGTCTTCGTTGCATAAAATTATTTCAAATCTGAAAATTGTTGACCAGTGTGAATAATTTTTATTCCGCGTTTGAAGTTCTCGGTGGATTTAAGGTGTAATTGGTTAAGCTCTTATCAAAGGATTTACTATTCAAATTTAATTGATTTATAATAGACTGGCTTATTTCGTTTTGATAGTTTTGGCCTTACTCTATTAAAAAGTAAGCAGATTAATTTTCACTAAGCTTCTTTGAGTATATTCAAACCCAGAAACCCATTTTCTTTAATCACATGTGTTTAAAGTGGTTTAATATATCTACTTATTTTACCTATATTTATGTATCTTGCCTTTGAAGAGTGTATGTATTTGCTTAATTTGCGGTTTATTTACAACGTTTTCCTCGTGTAAAACGTTGACAATTTTACTTATTCTACTAACAGTCACAATAAATCGTAATGTAAATACGGAATAACATTTGAATATATTCATGAGTCTTACGGTGCCAAAGCGACATCGTAATCCGTTTTCATAACGGGGCTTTTCTCGTATGCTATTGGCATTGGAATGAAAGAAAATAATAAATGAACTATAAAATTTGTTTATTTTTCGAATTTTCTTGACATTTTGTCGTAATTGCCAAAAAATTGTAATCCTGAACATTTAATCAAACCTCCGTGTATGAGGAAGTTTCAGGCTTGAAACTTTTTTTTAATGATAATGTTATGCTTCTGAGAAAAAAATATCAGTATTTCCTGGTGTCAATCTCGCCACCTTAAATTCTCGCGAGAGATCTTAGGAATTATCTCCATTGTCTATTGATTTTAGCGCGGATTATCTCTGCTTGACACTTGCTTAGAAAAGGCACGCGTTTCAATAACGGATTAATTTGCATGATGTTATAAAGAGCTACCTGATAAAAAAGAAAAACAAATCAAGTGGCAAACATTAGTGTGGTCGAGTCTCTGGAGGAAGGTTAACGAAAGATAAAGGTGAGTTTTTCCCCCCAGTTTTTTTTTCCATATATTTATTATTTTCTCCTTTCTTCCTACCTTTTTTTTTGGTCGTCTTTCCTACGATACTGAAGATTTTGAAAAATCAGGAATCACAGAGAATTATTTTGCGGTATCTATACATTTCAGAAATTTAAAAAAATGAAAATGTGTTAATTTCATATTTAAATTGAATAATTTTTTTTCTTTTCTTTTTCGCAATTTGAATTTCGGTTTTAGATACAATGTAGATATCTTTTAAAAAGTACATTTAAATGAAATAAATTTAAAACTAATTAAAATCATTTAATATGTGGTATACAGACAATGAAGAAATATAATTTTTAACAAATAAAATAACTTTAAAAGTAATAGTAATAATTATAATTACTTAATGAAATAAAAGTTAACTAAATAAGGAAATAAATAAACAAAAAGAAATACATATAAAAAAGAACGAAAGAAAGAGAAAAAGAAAGAAAGAAACTAGTGAAAAAGTGACTTGAATAATTAGAAATTGGGGCAAATAAGACTAATTAATTGATTTTTTTTAATTTCACAGACGCAGACAGGCAATGCAAGGGTTTGACTGTGCGACATATGGGGAGGTTTTTCCTGTAAAAATTACATCACCAACCTGCAAAGATCTCGGAATTCCTCGCGAGAGTGATGATGTCATTGTGTCAGCAAGGTTGATCAAGAATCCATCACTCCATCTCGATGGCATTCGATATGAAGCTCTCGTCAAAAATTCCATGTCGCCATCGGATCCATTTTCTCCACTTTGCATGATCCCGCTCCCGTCTCCCTTTACTTTAGAGCACCTAGAGCCGACATTTATCCGAAAACGAAACGAACGCGAACGGGACCGTGTTCGATGCGTAAATGATGGATATGCAAGACTCAAAGAACAACTCCCATTAGAAAATAAACATAAAAGAATTAGCAAAGTTGAAATTCTTCGCCGTGCTATAGACTACATTAAATATTTGAATGCAATTTTAGAAACAGACAATGAAAATGATTCAAATGAGCATACACATGAACAAGGTGTTGATGAGAGCAGAGATACAGAACTCGCGCAGCAAGACAATGTGAACGAGGACTTTCCAGAAAATGACACCCTTTCAATTTGTTGCAAAGACTTATCCCCAGAACAGAATACAACTTATTTCACGCTGGACACTCTATCAGACTCGGATGAGATTTATGGTCAAGGAAGTGATCTTGGATACGAATCCTTTACGAGTGGATGTGAAATGGAAGACGATCATGCCGGAAGTTGTGACTTTGATTACAGTGAGTGCTCGAGAGGATTGAAGCGGCCGTTAGAGGGCGTATCCGTGGAAGACTGTTCCCCCTGCAAACAATAGTGCTTATTTATATCAAGTGGTAAATGTACAAGATCATTCATTTGTATTTTTTTTTTTTTTTTTTTGTTTTGTTTTGTTCTGAGTTTGTTGAATGTAATTGTGTCTAAATAGGAAATAAAAGGTAAAGCAAAAACCTGAGAAATATTCTTTGCGACTTTTTTTTTTTTTAAATAAAATACTTTCTCTTAAAGCTCCTTCAAGGCTATGTAAGTGATCACATAAGTTTATAGTCTGTTAACTTTTTAAAGTCATAGGAAGTAAGAAATATCTGTTTTAAAGTGTAAGTTATATCCTGTAGCACATCATGAAACACAGAAATTAATGACATTTTCACTAATTGCTTTAAGTTGTATAGACCATATGATATGTAATGAATATCATTTAAATTAAGTCAACACTTTCGTCGGGTCGGATGCTAACTGGTGTTTTTCGTGCTGATTGTTGGGTCATTGTTAACATGCTGGGGTGTCTGCGGATTTTTCCGTTTTTTCCCGGTCGTGGCGGGGAGCGCACGGCTGATGTGGCCGGTCGGTGGGGGATGCTAGCTCCTCCGTGGCGCCTGGTCCCGCCTCTGGTGTTTTTGGAGGTCCGTGTTTACTATGCTCACGGTTTGTATTGTTTTAATGAACTTTGAGTTTGAATGCTGTTCGTTATCTCCATGTTTCATTTTAGGAGATGAAATGATTATTTAAAAAAATATATAAATATTGCATTCTTCAACATCTTCCCCTTGCAATGTTTCACAATATTATTTTTCTTGTAATTCTGTTTAATAATCTGACTTTCTAAGAGACCTTTTTGATTAAATGCATCATAAAATGTTTTATTTTATTTATTTATTTATTTTATGTACAATGTCATCATTTATTTATTTATTTTTTATTTATTTATTTATTTATTTATTTTATGTACAGTGCCATCATAAAGCTGAACAAAATAAAATGAGAGGAAACAATGATACTATTTTTTTTTGGTCCTAAATACTCGTGTGTTGAAAAACATAGAGAACAAATTATGTTATCGACAACTTCTAGCACTTAAACTGTATACAAAAAAGACAAATATAATGAAATATTTAATTCAACCAGTTCTGCTAAAAAATGGTATTAAGAAATGATATTGAAAGTGTATCGATATCGTTTAAAGATAAAATTATAAAAAACAACTTTTCATTTCTAATAAATGCATTACCAAAACTAATGCCTGCACAGAGTGCATGATTTATATGTACAATTTTCCGTGTAGAATACCGTAACCATTTTTGTGCTAGTGATCAAATTGCACTACAAGTGATGACCCCCCCCCCCCCCCAAAAAAATATCATTACTTTGATAGAAAGGAATTTATAAATCAACCAAATTACATAAACACATTAATTAAAATCAAAATACATGTAATCAGACCCATAAAATCGAGGAAAAGTTGGGGGGGGGGGGACTAATAATTTTGCAAGAAAATGAATTAATATAGAATACAAAGCAAATTAAGAATTGTTGCTATACATCAGAAAACGAAGCTATAATTATATTGTGTCCTTATAAAGTACCTTTCTTTTCTTACCTCTTTCTCTAGTCCCTTGTTCTTTCTTTTCTTTTTCTTTTTCTTTTTTCTTGTCAAACATTTCTGTTAGGCTGTACCCCAAAATTGATTTCTACGGGCCCGATGACCGTGATTTTAAAATTGATTAATAGTGATTTATTTCACTTGCCGGAATTAGAACAAAAGGGAAAAGAGACTGGTCAGGAGTGTTCAACTTCGAAGAAGAATATGTACTTTGTTTTGATCCATTTAAAAGAGTTGTCTTTCCTTTCACAGTTCCCTGAAAAGATTCAAGGGGGGATCTGGGATATCATATGTGGATTCTTCGGCCGGATTTTACCACTTATACCATATATTGAACCATTAGAAAACACACACCCCCCCCCCCCCGCCTCCAAAAAAATATATATAGTTTTACTAAAGAAAAAAATGTCCTGCGGTTGGAGGACATAGAGCGTGCTCAATAGTGATGAAAGAGAAAGCCTACATTAGTACAATCATTCTGCATGATGTCACAAAGATTCGGGTCGTGAGATTTATTGTCACATTATTTCCATTGCAGCAAAGATGAAAGTGGCGTGCATGTATCTTGTAATTCTGTGTTACGTTAAATGTGCAATATTTTTCAAATGCACATACAAGGATATAAAATTTTTTAAAAAATTATATATATTTTTTCGTTCTAAAAAAATCGTTGTTTTGTTTCGAGCATATTTTATTGAATAAATCAAAATTGAAATAATTCAAGTTTATCTGTGCATTTTTAAAAAAGTATGAAATGAGTGATAAATAAATTGATGAATGAATACATAACTAGAATTGTTAAAGGAGGAAAGAAAATTTGGAAACCTAGTTTACTGTTTTAAAATTAACTATACATGTCTTATATACATAGCAAAAAGAGATACTTCATCAATGTCATCTCACGGTCCTAATTATACACAAAGATTGTTATATGGCCATGATGCTTTTTCTTCTTCGTTTATTTGGGGAGGGGTGAATGTAATGTTCAGTTTCCCTAAGCCATCAAATCACACTGCGAGTGTGATTTTTCTATACGTTATATAGTTCGGCTTCAGCGGGAACTAATTTATTTTTTGTTAAGAATTTTGTGCATCTGACGATAAACATTACAAAATCAAAACTGACCATATGCATCACTATGGTCTGTGTTGTAACTCCTTCATTAAAAATAGCACTCTAAAACCTTCAACAGAGCCCCGCTCCAGACCTAATTAATTCTAGATAGCCTGCTGACCTGACCATCCAGAGGTCCAGTCAGGTACGTGTGCACTCTCTTCTATGCATGTGATTCTAACGATCACGTTTTTATTCTTTAGCCACTCTGGTTTTAAAAAATGCATTGACGACTTCATGGGTATGTTTTACTGCAGGAATTAAATTTTTGAATCATTCATTAACATAGTAAAATATACTATTAAGTTAAAATATTATGATATTAAAATGAGAGATTGAAAAACATTATATAACAATATAAAATAATTGTACATGTATACTTCATTTAAATATCCTTATTGCAACGTGAAATTAAAAATTGAGGTCGAATTAACTTCAGCGTTTACTAATTCTTTACAACATTTTTCGCATATTATAATAATAATATTTACATTTAAGACACATTACAAAATTACGAATGAAAATAGTTGACAGGATGCTCCTTTCGGAGCTTGGAGCTATTCATTTCGGTTCATTATATTCATTTCATTTCATATTCATTACGGTTTCACTGAAATGTTGACCTTTTTGTACTTAAGACCAAAGTTGTATATGGTTCGTATTTGTAAGGTTAAAGTATGAACGATTCACTGTATACATAAGTAAATCAAAATAAGTGTACATATTGTAAGCATTACTACAAAATGTTGGTAAACAAAGATTTTATTTATTATCAAAGACCTAGGACGACCCACCTGACACCCGACCACAAATTTTTAATGTGAATGTGCTTTGCGCATGCTCACACGTTGTTTTGATTCTTTTATATATTGAAGTTTTGAAGTCGGAGTTGTCGAGGATGCCAAATCTTGTACTTCCATTTAGATTAAACATAATTTTATTGAATATGTACAAGTTCGAGTTGGAAACAGGCAAATACTATAATATATACTCTCTCCTTGAATAAAAGGTCAAGACTGCTATTTGTATATGACTGTATGGTGATAATAATAATTACAAAAGTACACTTAAAAGAAAAATTGAATTGTAATATTTGGCACCCTCAACAACTTTTGAAAATCCAAAACAACGTGTGAGCACAAAGCTCACTTTAGATTAATGAATATAAACACTGAAGGTATCCGACGTTTGCATTTAAGTGAAATTGATGCATATGTCCATAACGACGATCATTGTTATGATATTTTGACCCCTATACATGAGAAGTTTCGACACTGTAGGAAATCATAGTCCTCAAGTATTTTTTTTGTTACTAGCTTTCGAAAAAGAACCTGTTCAAGTACAGGACCGTAGTATGCCCCATTTTTCTGTGAAGAGTCTTTTGCTTAAGTTTTAATATGTAGATTTTTTTGGGATGCTGCTTGGCATTTTGTTGCTGTATGGTCGAACAGTGGCAAATTCCAGTATTTGTTGGCTTGTAATTTTTTTTTTTAGCCCCCCCCCCACTTTGCAAAATATTGCTACGGACCAGAAATAATTATCTGAGTGCCACTTACCTATAGTTAATATCTTTATTCCCATTACCCACCTCATATAATTCGATAATTAAAACTGCGATAACAGAATTGCTCTCTATCTCTCTCTCTCTCCATGGAGTCGCGATGATATACTACATACATTTAGTACCACAACGCCAAATTAAATGCGACAACAAAGGATTTAGTTATTTAAGTGTTGATCTTTAGCATACACTGAAGATCAAGAGCCTTTTTTCCCCAGAAAATATGCCTCCTTCAGACAAAATTTGAAAGTGCCAGAGTTACGCATTGACATTGAATGTTACTTTGGACAACATTTGATTGCTAATTGAGAATGGCCTTTTCTTTATAGAATACTAGATGAAATCCCGCGAATTGAATTTATACTACTACCAACAGAAAATATATTGTAGTTTCTACTGACAGTCTACAGGCTTATAGCAGGAAGAAATACTTTGTTCAAAATCCTGCATGAAGTAGATGTACGTTTCCACCATCCCCCCCCCCCCCCATTTGTGACAATTTAAAAAAAAATAACAATTTCATTAATATTGGCGTTTATTGTGAAACCTGTTACACTTTGTTATGGATATTGTACTTCAGATGCTCTTATTTCATTTCCTTCAAGGATAAAAACAGCGAATATGCACATTTTACTGATAAATTTTTTTTTGGGGGGGGGGGGGGGTAAAAATTCACTGGTACTTGGGTCTTGCTTGATAAATATGTGTTTACCTTATCGATATATAAAAAATGTATTTTACTTTTTTACATACATGTATCAAT